ATCTTTACCCACCACGTTGGTAGCAAGGGCGCACTGAGAAGAGGGACAGTGTCTTTTTGAGGGACGAACGCTAAAAGTAGAGAAGTCTCGAACATGGCAAGTAGGAACACGAAGACTAGCGTTATCCAGAAGGGAGGAGCAGAATTTAAGGCCACAATAAACCTGAATGAAGAAGAGTGCATCAAGAAGATGTCTACGCAGACTTAGAGGGTGCAATCTTAGTCTCTCTAAGGCATATGTATAACTATAGGAGCTATGTGGGAAGTAGCGATAGAAACAGACAGATGCAAACTTTTTCTGGATGCGCTCAAGTTTTGCGGATTCAGTAGACGTGATAGAATTCCAAGCTACCGAGGCGTATTCCAACTTGGACCTGACTAGTGTAAGATACAGCACATATAAACAGTCAAGAGAAGAAAATCTAAAAGTTATTGAGCGTATAAGACCTAGCAGCTTTATACATTCGGAATATAAAAATCCCTGATAGATTTCATACGAAATGTGCTGGAGTGAATGTGACAATTTTGATGCCCTGTAACAGAAAAAATTATAGTCTGGTGTTGCACTGTGAGCAATGCAAGCACAGTCTTCATCATGATAGTGTGGCTGTGCTTCGAAACTAATATGAAATATAAAACAGCTCCCAATGACAGAAATGCAACCTATACTAAATGCAGAGATTGGAATGTCACTGAGAGAGATTGAAATGTTCATGAGAATGAGACCAGCAGCAACAAATCAGCAGGTGTCAATATACTCAGAGAATGAAATTCCCAGCCCAACAAGGAATCCACGTGTCCAAGTGCAGGAAAAGAGAATATACATTGTGTGAGACAAAAGAAAATGAGGAAGAAAATCTGTTGCCAGATGGGATGGCAGAGGAAGATGCAAGAAAGGCTGCACCATAGCTCAAGCAGTTAGTCGCTGGCTTCCCATCACGGTGGCCCGGTTTCAATCCTGGGTCTGGTCAAGTGGGATTTGTGGTGGACAAAGTATCACTGGGGCAAGTTTTCTCCGAGTACTTTGGTTTCCCCTACCAATCTTCATTCCACCAATTGCTCCACAATCACCCTCACCTATCATCTGGGGCTGGTACAATAGGCCAGAAGTGGCCACAGTGCAAGGGACTTAGTCCCACCCCACTAGCAGTAAAAAAAAAGATGCAAGAAACAAAGAAGAGATATCAGACAAAGGAAGAGAAAGAAGACAGATTGGAAATACAAATAACAGTAAAAGAGATGATGGAGACTTACACATGCAAGTGTAGAATGAAGTGATTGGCAGAAAATGAAATAATGTACATATGTCATAATGGATGTAGTGCAACTGGCCTAGTGTTCACCGGCAAGGTAACAAACAGAGATCAAAAGTTGGTATGTTGTACGGCTGTCACACCAGTGAGGAAGCATTTGTTTATAGAGACAGTGCTAAATATAAGGGATACCCAAACTGTCACAGCAGCAGGAAAACAAAGATTCTCATGGACCCGTACTTTGGGATATTGACAGCAAGAGCCAGAAACCTTAATGTAAAAAGGGAAAGTACTTGCCACAGTGCATGCCACCAAAACATTATGATCCTCACACCAAAGAGTAACAGTGTTGCTGGGGAAGAAAGAAAACCTTTGAGGCCCTTCACAGAGCCAGAAACTCCACTCTTTGGAAAGAACTTCAAGCGTATGATAATTTGTGTAAATTGTACAGGGCCTTGCTGAAGAAGACAAGGAAAATATACATCGAAAAGGAGGCAGCACAAATAGCGAAGGCTAAGAAGATGTGTTTGCAACATCAAGATCCAAAATGCCATACCTGGTCAGTGACATGCCAGTGTGTCCTACTGAAAAATAAAGGCACTTCCTTATCCCAAGCAATGACAGTGGAATTACACTGGAAAGTAATACTTCCAAGGTTTTCACAAAATTACTAACAAGAAGACTAACCAATCTAGTAGACAGCAGACTTCTAGAATATCAGTTTGGATTCAGACACATTATACTTACAAGTGGCAAGTTATGTGCCATTTTTATTGCTCATACAAAAACCTTTGATTTACGGAACAGAGAAGTGCTTGTATGGAAGCTAGAGCAAGTGAAAGTGAGAAAAGCCCACTGACAAACATAATAAGGAACATTCTGTGAGTTAACTGTGTGACAGTAGACAGTAGCAAGAGTATATCCAGTGAATTAATGCAGACTATTGGAATGCCACAAGGCAATTCACCAGGTCCTTTGTTATTTAACCTTTAAAAGCCTAGCAACGCCATATGGAGACCTTTAAAGTATAGCTGAGTGGCCGTGTGACACCGTATGGGTACGCGCAGTCCACACATACGCATGGTGTTTTAAAATGTAATTTTAAGATAGAAATTCTTGTTCTACTTACATTACTTTTTGGGCACCCGCTTTATAAGTAGACAGTCTTCCCTCCTGCATCATCTAACTGAATGCAGAGTCTGACGTCGCAATTCATGCACTTTGTCCGGATGTAACTCCGTTTCTCATGCGAAGAGCACCTGTGAAACCTCAGTCTCATATTAGAGGAAGTTGGCCAGTGATGTCGAGTGGCCTCCTCTAATCGTAACGCTTATAAAACTTTGCAATTTCAACTATCCACCATGGCCTCATTTCACATAGAAGAAGCCGAAATTGACAGGCCGCTGATAAATGACACCGATTCAGAATGCGGTACAGACGACTCTGAAAGTGGCATGGAAGCAAGGGGGAAATGTGGGGCTATTCCAAGAACAGTATCTCTGTGTGGCTAGTCCAAGATATACACAGTCAGAGTTTCTGAAGGACAAAGTACGATAAGACTTCGCCCACACTCGTGCATACAGAAAGGTTCCGACGTGACTGGAGAATGTGCAGTACAAACATAAACTTCCTCCCCCTTTGCCAGATAAGACATAGTAAGACAGGATGTCAGTAGCATGCATTTATACTACAGAAACGTTTTGTGCAGAAACTGTATGCATATTTGTGGACAGACACTTGAAATTGGGGGGGAAAAAAAAATTGTAATCAGTGTAACAATTTTTACAGACTTTAAAAATCTGTAAATTACAATATCTGATTCTATATTCTTTCTAGATAAAAGCAGTGTTTATTTCGTTTGTTTATCACAAAAATTGTAGAAATCACAGCATTTTCTGTAACATGCTTACAATTTTTAATACTCTACAATGGCGGACATTTAAATTAACTCTGGCCTGCTGCCATTATGGGAATTTAAATGGCCCGTCTCTTAAAGGTTAATAGAGGATGTCTGGATGAAAGATATCCACAATAAAATAATTGTATCTCAGAAAGCGTTTATGGGTTACCCCATTACAAAGGGAAACTATCAGAGTTGTTTCTGAGTATATAACTTTGTTAGTGAATTTTAGTGTGGGCTCCCTTGGTGGCACGACAAATATCCAGACGATATTCAGCTTTGTTCCATGTTGCTTGAAGCATGTTTGGTGATACCATAGCCACAGCATCCCTTATGTAGGCTTTCAGGTGTTGAAGGACGTTGATCTTAACCTGGTGGACAATGTTCTTCACAAAATCCCACAAGAAAAAATCCAGTGGGTTTAATTCTGGTGACCTAGGAGGCTAAACGATTGGTCCACCTCTGCCGATCCCTCTTCCAGCCATCTTTCTGTCCAGGTGATTCCGAACATGGTGGCAGAAATGTGGTGGCGCCCCATCTTGTTGGAAGATAGTTTGAGGTGGTAATTGGAGCAGCGCATACAAAAAAAATGGTTCAATCAACTTGTTATGCATTAAGCTGGCCCACTCTTTCTCTTTGGTGTTGCGTCTCCCCAACTTGCATGTGACATGTGGATTTTGATTGCCCTAAATCCTGCAATTGTACCTGTTAACAACTCCATTGACATGGAATGTCGCCTTGTTCGAGAAACACACTTGGTAGAGGAAATGGGGCGATGTGTCAGTTCTTGCTAGCATGTCAACAGCGAAGTTTGTGCATGCTACATGGTCACTTGGTTATCATATATGAATCATTTGAATCTTGTATGTTCTTAAGCAGAGCATCATGTGTAGCACATTGTGCACTGTTGAATGTGGAATTTTTAACTGCAAGCTAGCTGCGTGGACTGATTTGTGCAGACTCTGCTGGAATGCATCTCTAATCTGATTGACATTTTCTACCGAGGTCCATGACTTTTCAGGAGATCTTACATGTAACAGACTACCTGTAGTCCTGAGTTTGTTGTCCCAGAACCAGATGGTTTTTCATGTAGGAGTCTGACGTCCATATTGCATTATAAAATGAAATTGGGTGGCTGTAAGAGATTGCAAGTATGCTAGCCACAACACACATTGAACCTGTTTCTGTGCTGTTGACATCCTTCCTGAGCTTGCTGAAGGTCACCAGCTGTCGCATTTGTGTAAGCTGGTCCTGAAAAAAAAAAAGAACTTTTATGGTTTTCCTTTCTGATAACATAAACTGGGATGTGTGTATGACAAGTAGTTTATGAGATACACATTTTTTTATTTTGGATACCTTTCAGCCCGACATTCTGTATAGCATACTAGATATGTATTGGATTCTAGACTAAACAGAAAACATGTCCCTATGTTCATATGTACTGATGACTTGGTGATAATGGCAAGTTAAAGAGCTAAAACAGTGCTTCAACACACTGACTGAATGGCCCAAAATAGTCGCAACATAAACAAGGATAAGACTGATAATGATATTCAGAGAAAAAGGAAAGTTGAGAAACAGTGACAGTATTCAGATAAACATGAAAGACTGAAAATTGTGGACTTGTTTAAGTATTTGGAAATTACTTTGCAGACATCTGACACGTCACGTGTCCATTATATCAGAAAAGAACAGTAACTACCCTAAGACATCTAGAACATTAACTGACAGTATTAATATACTATCTTCACAAACTTTTAGATCTTATTGACTTGAGGATGTTTTCTGGTCAAGGAACCAAGGGCCAGCTACTCTTATCATTTACTGCAGCAATGAAGCATGTTCTATTGTGAAGAAGAATAAAGAGAAACAAAACATGGAGTGGATTTTACCCAACAAAAGCAATGACAAACTGAGACTGGATGTCCAGAAACAATGATCAGCAACATGTCATTACCCAAACGGCACAACACTTTTATTGAGAAAAAATATTACAGAATGAAAACTGACCCAAACATTTATTCTAAACTACTGCTGGACAAAGATCCAGGGATGTTGGAATATTGCAAAAATATGTGACATGATGTGAACAGGAAATAAATACAAATATGAAAACTGTTCATAGAATTGATCCATAAGCAATCATGTGTAAGAAACCACAACAACAGTGGCAGCAACATTGTTAGATGTATTCCTAAGATTTATTCAAGTAAAATGTTGAGGTGTGATGTAAAGTGTATGCTTTATGTGGTTTCATGTATGAAATATTGTACCTGCTGAATTGTTGTAATTAGAAGTTATCATTTTTTATGGAATCATGACTGCTGCAGGTACAGTTATTAAATTCGTTCTTGCTTTTTCAAGACATCTCCAGAGTGCAAGGATGCACGAGGAGCTCTGCAAGAGAGTTTGGTTCGCCTTCTTCTGTCAGTTGAATGTTTGCAGCCTCGGATCTCTGAAATACTCCTTGAGAAAGTGGCGGAGTTTGCATTGACTGGCGATGAGTAAGTCCTTAATATTTCTTCAGTAGTAACAGTGAGGTTAGATCTGCATAGATAGAGATCATTATTGGTTACCTGTTGTGTGAATGAACATGAATCCAATTCTCAGAAGAGCTACTTGAATTGTATTATAATAATTTTTGTATTGCATTAAAAGTTACTAATTTGGCTCTTAATATTCAGAGACCTTTATTTACAATACAACCCTTCTCATGTTGGTTGTATTGTTAGCTGTATGTGAGTTAACATGCATTATTATACCTCATGATTCAGACTGAGAGGCAAGTATGCATAAGCTAGATAAAATTTGAAGTTCTCACAGAGATGAAGACTAATATGGTGGTCTTCTAGATTATGACCTTTTTGTAGTCTGATATGTGGATACCAGTGTTTCAGTGGAACATAGTGCCACCTTCAGAGTTTAGTATGTTCAACTGAAATGCTTGTACCAACCTAGCAGACTGTGTAGTGTTGTAACCTAGCAGACATTATGAAGGCATATCCATTACTAGATATGGTAATTACAAATGTTATGAATTTATATGACAGTTTTTAGTTGCTCCCATCAGAATTTATAAAACAGTAATGGAAAGATATAACAGTAAGTACACTAAGTAATTAATGAACTCTTTGAGTAGATTCCTGAAGAATCTGATGGACAACTGGTCAAGAAATTTTTGATCTTTCATGTTCGTTACTCATTATACAAAGGTTGGAAGAGAAAAGTTCTGGATCCTGACTTTCATTTTATTACAAGGTTCAGTTTTTATCCAGACCTTGATTTTAGTACATAATTTTAAGTACTGAAATTTGGCTAGTAGTGTAAGAATTGAAAATAAATTTTACAATTTATTTAGTCAGTTATTTAACATACATTGTATAAAAATGTAACTTTCCTGTTTGCTTTATAAATGTTTCTGTCTTTTCCTCTTTTCGACTATGGTCCTAATAGAGGACAGTCAGAGATGATATAGCATTTGCACAGAGTTTTGGAAGTGTATATAACAGTCCCACCTGTTAAAGTGATATGCAGATATTGTGATAGTCTCTGGATGTGTTTTGGATTTTATCAGTGTTTTTAGTTATATGAGAATAATTTAATTCTTTTAATTTGAATGCTATCACTTCATTAAAGTTTTAGCTACTATGGAGAGTGTTTCAAGACTTCATGTAATAACTTCAGGAGGAAATTTCTGAGGTCATTATCAGTGAAAATTTTTGTATTGGCATCAGTACAATTTTCAGCAGTTAGAGAACTATGAGTAGGGAAAGTTAAGATGTTTTCAGTACAACAGACATGTTTATTGTTGTGATAAGAAGTGATACTTAATGCCTATACATTCGTGTTCATTTTGCAATTATAAACAGAGCCTTTCACAAGTACACACATAAGGAAATCAAGGAGGTTGAGGTCTAGTGACCAGAGTGGACAATTCTGTAGAAACCTCCACAGCAACCAGGGAAATGGTGGTTCAAGTACTGTGTCATGTGAAGCTGAAGATGGACATTTCTAACATTTGTTGTAGCAGTAAAAGTCCAGGATATTTAAATCATGTACAATCATTAAGTGCCATTTCTTATTAAAATAAACATTTTTATCATATTCCAAACATCTTAAATTTTCCTGCCCATAGTTCTGTAGCTGATGAGAATCGTACTCATGTTAGTATATTTCCCAGTCAGAATGATCTCATCAGTGACCCCTCTGAAATTATGACCTAAAGTCATGTAACAGACAGTAAATTGAATTGTGGCAAGGAAAGCAACCATTTGCATGTAAGTTCTCAGTTTTCTGCTACAGATCTTATAGAGAACATATGAAGATACTGTGAAGTTTACTGTGTACTCCTGCCAATGTGTGCAGTGAGCCATGGCTGTTGAAGCAGTGTGAAAGTACTTCATTTAATTTTTATGTGCTCTGATTCCTTGTTCCCAGTATTTTTTTTAATTACATGAGTGAACTTTAATCTGTTAATTTGATTGTTATTCCTTCTTTAAATTTTTAGGAAATATATTCTCTGATATTGACGAAGAAAGCCACTATATCTCAGATGAAGAATGACTACTTCTGCTTGTGGTGTGAGTGCGCATGTGTGTGGGTTCTGTGTGTGTCACATTTGCTGTCTGATTCTTAGGCGTAAATTAACGGACTTGAACTTTAAGGTCTGAATTCTAAATTAGAATTGAAAGGCACATAAATTAAATATTTTGAATACTTCTGCAAAAATGCTTTGGTTAGGAAAAATTGTTTTTATTACTAATAAATGCATTTCTGGTGTATGTAGAATGATTTTCAGCAATTCTGCTTTTACAGATAATTGGGATAATAGTGCTCTTTTTCCCATAGTTGTACAAAAAATGTAAATTCTTTAGATTTTTAAGTGTGCATTGCAGACTTAAAACATATTGAAAAAATACTATATAGGAGCCACAGGGACATAGCAGATGAGTTAAGTTGTTAAGGATTGAGCAAAGCAGTGTAAGCAGAACTCATTTCATTTCATTTATTTCGTATCCATGGATCATTATACATGATATAAGACATGTCATTCTTGTGTAGTTATGGTATAATAAGTTCCATAATGTTACTATTGGGGGGGGCTGCATATGAAGCATGCAGTGCAACGTGGAATTTGGGTACCAACTCAGCATTTGCTCTGGGACCAAGGAAAACCACGGAAAACCTTGATCGAATTGGCCGGTCACAAGACCTCCCAGATACACTGGGAGGTGTATCTCTATGTAACTGTGTGTATGATCTAATTGAATACTAAATTTCACATGCCTAACTCCAGTGGTTAATTATTTGGCATGCTTTTTGTTGAACTGCAGGCCTGCCATGCCTTTTTTGCTCTTGGTGATTGTGGGCTCTTCCACTGTAACAATTATTGCTTTGTTTCTGGATCATAACCATAAATCCAACTTTCATCACCCATTATGATCCTAGAGATAAAAGTTGGGTCCTCATTAGCCTTCTCTCATAGCTCAAGACACATTTATCTGCTGCTGCTTTTAATCGTATGTCAAGAGTTGGGGAACAAACTTTACAGCAGTGTGACGCATTTTCAAATTTTCTGTTAGGATCTCATGGGAAACTCCATAACTGATCCTAGCGGTGTCCGTGAGCTCATGGATTGCTCAACATTGGTCATCGTGAATGAGTTCTCAAATTTTTTCAACATTTTCTGTTGTTTTGCTGGTGCTTGGTCGCCCCGAATGTTCGTCATATTCAGCTGACACTCAACCAGCCTTGAAAAATGAATGTCATTCAGAAACTGCTGTCTGGCTTAAAGAATGTTCTCCAAAAGCCTCATGAATCATTTCAAGGGTTTTGGTAGCAGATTAATTGAGCTTCATGCAAAACTTGCTGCAGACACTTTTGCTCAATTTTGCCATCCATCGCAGACAAAATGAAACACGAAGTTGAAAAAGCACTCATGTAAAAATAACATTCTGCAAACATATTACCTTAATGAAAGCCCCACCCCCTTCTTTTTGAGTATCTATTGCTGTACTTCATTTCAGTTCCCAGGGATAAATGACATTACTGACATTGTCACTTCGCCAGTCTGTACCTCCATCATGTTGTTATGTCTGATTGTATGGAAGTATGTATGGCACTGGTGTAGCCTCCGGAGGCATAATGTTTGTACCACATTTCATGATCAGCTGGTTCATAATTTAAAATGGAGGAACAGGCCGATACAGGCAGCATTGTGATTTCACAGTGCTAATGAAAGCAAGTAGGCCAAAAAATTAACACAGCATCATGTAACAATACTGTCATCTGTTTTGATATTTAATGACAAGTTATACAGAAATAGAAAAAATTAAGGTCTGATATGTAACTGATGTGGTTTTCCTTCAGTGATCCAGATACTGTAGAAGAAGTACCATGGGTTCAAATTATTCTCCGCCAGATGCGGCTTCTGGATCGCATTGTGGATGGCAACACATTGAATGAACGCCTCTTTGCTCTTTTGGTTGCTGCACCCTTACCAGTGAGTTTTAGATAAAAAATTATATATTTTTAGCCTTTTCTTTTTTAAGGAACCAGAGTAGGATAATGAGATATCAGTATGCTCTGTGTGTGTGTGTGTGTGTGCGCGCGCATGTGTGAATGCATGCATGTGCTGCACAGGTGTACGCATGCATGCACGCACATATATATTGCTTTGTTATGTATAGTTATTCCTCTGCTACTTTAAGCATCTTAATTGAGGAGCTATGTTTAATATTGGGTTATATACGAAAAATACTAATCAATTTCTCATATTTTGTTCTTATATACTGTTTAGGTTCAGCAGGAGATTATATTCTGCCTACCTGATATTATAGGTGATGAGCAGCACCATGAAGCAGCTTTACAGCTCAGGTTTGTCTGTTTTTTACAACATGTCTGAACTGTCTATATGGAAGAATAACAATATTGGTTACAGTAGTGATAAGTAACCTCATTCTCCACTCGGACAGATTTAAGAAGCTAGAAACCATATTCAAGCTGTAAGTGAAATTCTTACAATAAAATTTATGCTGTTGAGTAATTTTTTATGTTTTAAATTAAGCAGATATATTAGTAACAGTAAAATGAAAAATGTTCCCACATTGTAACATTCATAAATTTACTTGGAGATCTTCTGATGGAAAGACGCCAACCAAATTGACCATATTTTGATAACTAGGAGATGACATTCATGTATACATGATGTCCAATCGTTCAGGGCAGCAGGTTGTGATACTGACCACTATATGGTGGTTGCTAAAGTTAGGGAGAAATTGGCAGTGAGTAAACAAACAATGCACGCAGTTGATATGGAGAAGTTCAATCTCAAGAAATTAAATGAAGTGGAGGGTAAAGAGCAATATTGTGTTGAAATCTCAAATAGGTTCACAGCTTTGGAAAACTTAGACACAGAGGTGTATATTAATATAGCTTGGGAAACTATTAGAGAGAATATCAAAATTTCAGCAGAAGAGACTCTAGATTATTATGAATCGAAGAAGCATAAGACATGTTTCAATGAAGGATGTGACTGAAATTAGATGGGACGCATCAGCTGCTGGTCTATGCTGTGATGTGAATCTGCTGGGTGATATTATATATACCATGAAAAAAACATGAACTTTAATTGATTATTATTATCATTATTATTATTATTATTATTGGAGGGGGTGGGTTTCCCCATGCACCGCCACCAGTGGTCTATTGTACGTCCCCCTGTGATATTCTACCAGTCTCTATACCCTACCGATATCGGTGCATGCCATCAGTTCCGACTCAGCCAGCGAGTTCGGCCTCTACTGGCTCAGCGGTATCTAGATGCTTCCCCCATCTACCAGAGGCGTTAGAGACTATTGTTGGGCGGGAAATGTCCTTAATAATTAGGCTCAGAGGCCTCCTTGAGGCATGAGGTTCTTTTACATGCCTTAAAGCTACGACATGGGACCCATGGCTTAAAGTCCCTCCCGGAGGACTTGTTCCCTGAATTTTTCCACCCTTAAAAATTCCACGACCTCCGCTGGGTTTGAACCCGCGTACCTTGAGTCATGAGGTGGGAACGTTACCCCTAGACTACGGAGGCCACTAACTTTAATTGATGCTAGTAAAGATGTTGGTCTAGAAGTAAACACAGAAAAATCTATGTTACTGTCTCATCGCTAGAGTGCAGGACAAAGTCATGACATAAAGACAGCTAACAGATGTTTTGAAAATGTGTCACAGTTCAGATATTTGAGAATGACTATAACAAATCAAATCTCATTTCAGGAAGAAATTAAGAGGAGATTGAACTCAGGTAATGCATGCTACCATTCAGTCCAGAATATTTTTTCTTCCTGTATGCTGTCAAAAGACATAAAAACTAGAATATACAAAACCATAATTTTACCTGAGGTTCTGTATGGGTGTGAAACTTGGTCTCTGACATTGAGGGAGGAACATAGACTGAGGGTGCTTGAGAACAGGGTGCTGAGGAGAATATTTGGATCGAAGAGATATGAAGTTATGGGAGGTTGGTGAAAACTACATAATGAGGAGCTTCATAACTTGTGCACTTCACCAAGTATAAATAGAGCGATTCAGTCAAGGATGAGATGAGCAGGACGTGTAGCATGAATGAGGTTGAAGATTTATGCATGTAGGATATTGTTGGGAAAGCCAGAAGGAAGGAGACCACTAGGAACACCAAGATGTAGGTGGGTGGACCAATATTAACACAATGCGGACTGGCGATTTAAATATTTAAGTCACCCTGGGGACCAGCATTATTAAACGTACTATCCTAACATGTGCACTATTCACTTTAAAAATGAATATAAAATCTAATTAATTTTATGAACCAAAATTTTTGGAGAACACCAATGCTCCTAGAAGTGCTTGAGAGTGTGATATTTCTGGAAACATTCCCCCTTGTGAAGTGGCATTACACAGAACTTGCAAATGTAGGCAGTCATACTCCTTTTTCTGTGAACTGTGCAAACATGGCATTGCCTAAAAGGATGCTTCACCTTGGAATGTTCACTCTTCACAGTTTTCACAAGGGTATGTTTCCGCATATCACCGAACAGTTGCCCAGGGGGGTCCACATGAGGCCTAAGTGGGGTGAGAGTTGATGGGCCTGGTCACACTAAGTCTGTGTCTGACTCTGGTTCTGCTGCTGCCATCTGGTCTGTAGCCCAGGCCTTTGTCACATTCATCAGAAATGCTTTTTATTTCAATTTTGAATCAGGGTTTAGATTTCTGTAAACCAAAAATGAATTAAAAATGGCACAATTTATAAGCCACAAGGCAACTTTCTTTGTCCACTTTATTATTTTCCTAGGAAGAGAATATAGGCCAAGTATTGATCGGCTCTGTCAACTCCCTTCATGAACATATTATACTCAGAAATACAAATAGGCTTCTTTACTTGTCCATGTGTCCTTTGAACATCAACCATGCTTGAATTGTGAATTGTGGAAATCATATTCACAACACGAGTATCCCTATCTCAAAAAAACAGTTCTGCAACTTCAGACACTTGTGTTGGGTCTGATGGAATTTGTTTCACTCCTGGATTTCCAGTAAACTATCCCAAAATAGGCGTTTTGTCTACTTTTCCCCATGTGGCTGTCCCCACAGTTTTAATACCTGCAGTTCTACCTGCACTTTCGTCAGAGCTACTTTCACTTTTATTGTCTGTGGTGACAATTGTTTGTTGTCCCCTGTCACTGCCACTGTCTAAATCACTATCACTACACGTCTCAAAAGGAACATCAGATAGCGTTGGAGAACAAGTCAGATATTTCGCTTGGTTTTCAACCACTTTTGTCTTTGACTCATTGCACTACTAACTTCCTGCCTGGTACATAAGAGCTTGAAGGGTCAAAGATCATTTTCCTTTGGAGGGGGAACCCAAACAGTGAGATCAAGTTACTGCCTACTAGGCAAATATTCTTGAATAATATTACTCAGTAGTCATTTCATTTGGGTGGCACCAGAGAAAGGTATAGTGTGTTACAATCTAACGTGTCCTAAAATCATAATAATATGCCACCGGTCTGCCATGTTTAAAAGCGCTGGGCATAAAAATATGCCACCAGTCCGCAAAGTGTTAATTTTTAAAGTGAACAATGCACAAGTTAGGGTAGTAGGTTTAAAAATACTGGTCCCCAGGGTGATTTAAATATTTAAATTGCCGGTCCGCAAAATGTTAAAATGGATGTTAGAGAGATAGAGTGGGATGGGATGGACTGAATCGATCAGGCTCAGGATAGGGGCTGGTGGATGGCTCTTGTGAATATGGTAATGAACCTTTGGGTTCCATGAAATGCTCGGAAGTTCTTGAGTAGCTGCACAATTGGCAGCTTTTCAAGAAGGGCTCAGCTCCATCAATGAGTGAGTGAGTGAGTATTTGTTATTGTTATTATTGGAGGGGGTCGGTTTCTCCATGCACTGCGACTATTTGTTAATCTATTGTGCGTCCCCTTTAATTTCTACTGTCGCCATGCCCTTCAAGTACTGGTGCTCGCTATCAGCCCCGTTCTGCCAGTGAGGTCGGCCCTCTCAGGCAGTGGTCCCCGATACTTCCCCATCTGCCAGAGGAATTGGAAACTACTTGGGCGGGAAACTTTGGCTAATTTTGCTCAGAGGTCTCCTAGAGACATGAGGATCTTTTACGTGCCGTAAATCTACGACATGGGACACACGGCTTAAAGTCCCTCCCAGAGGACTTGTTCCCTGAATTTTTCCGCCATTAAAAATTCCACGACCTCCCCCGGGTTTGAACCAGCGTACCTTGAGTCATGAGGTGGGAGAGTGAGTAAGTACAAGGTGGTTCAAATATGACTGGGACTGATTTTTTTTTAAAAACCATAATTGCCAGACACTTACTTGCACATGTCAGTCTTCAACATACTCCCCTCCAGAGTCAGCACATTTTTTCCAGTGTTCTTGAAGCATCCTGATGCCCTTTTCAAAAAAGGCTTGTGGTTGGCAGCATATCCACTCCCAAACAGTCTGGATGATGGCGATGTCCACAAACTGCATGCCTTGCAAGTCTGATTTGAGCCTTCCGAACAGGTAGAAATCACTTGGGGCCAAATCAGGACTGTACAGCGGATGTGTCTGAAGGTTCCATTTCAGTTTCCAGAGGGTTTCCATTGTTTTGGCCTTAAGGGGCCGTGCATTGTCTTGAAGGAAGACTACCTGCTTTCCACCTGTGTTCCGCTTGGATCGGAACTTTTCCTTCACGTCTGTTGCCAGGAGGTCTGAGTAATAAGCTGCATTGACTGTTCTGGCATCTGTCAGAAAGTCTACATGGATAACCTCCTGCCAGTCCCAGAAGAACATTGCCATCACTTTTCCTGCTGAACCGCTCCTCCGCGCTCTCATGGGTTTGGGAAAACTGGTATGCCGCCACTCACGTGATGACTGCTGGGACTCAGGAATGAAGTAGTGCACTCACGTTTCATTGGTGGTCACTGTATACTTAAAAGAGTGCATCACCATCATCTTCAAACTGCTGTAGGATTTGACTGGCAGCTTGCATACGCACCATTTTGTTCACGTCCATCAAAGTGCATGGTACCCACCGTGCATTCACCTTGCGATAGTGCAGGTGGCATTTCACGATATCTTCTACACTACCAACACTGATGGACAGCATTGCTCCAAGTTCCTTGATAGTGATGCGCCTGTTCTCATGAATAAGCACGTCTGCATGATCAGTGTTTGGCTATGTGATGGATGTTCGCGGCCAATGATTGCGGTTCATTCTCCACGCGCTCTCTACCCTCCCTGAAGCACTTACACCACTCAAACACACGGGTCTGTGAAGGACACTCTTCCCCATACTGTTGTTGGAGTCTAGTGAATTTCAGCAGTTTTCTCCAAGGAGTTTGATCACAATGCGTTGTTCCACGCTCCGTGGTACCTTCTGTTCGCTCATAATTCTAGCAACTCCCAGACAGGACCGAACGGGAAGGAGGGTGGAGGATGTGGCTTCACTCTCTCAAGGTTGCACAGCTGCTGTGCAGTGTGGCTTGTTTACACATAAATCAGTCCCGGTCATATTTGAACCACCTTGTAAAAAGTAAGGGTATCCCTGTAACAGACTTTGGAGGCCCATAGTGTTGTGAGATATTGAGGTTCCCACATTTTCTAGACAGTCGGCTCATAGATGGTGGCAAGATTGTTAGCCCTATGCCCCGACTTACCTTTACCCCCAAGAATATTCCAAGAATATTCATGGTACTCATTTCTATTAGAGGCTGAGTCGACCCCAGGGCCATAGTGCAGCTGGAAGGATTAGGTCAATTGAAGAAAAATCCAATGACCTCATTGGGGCTTGAACCCATGACCTTCCGGCTTGTAGCATAGTGCCTCAACCAACTATCCTACCATGTACAAAGAAAAAAAGTGACATTCTTATGATTTCTATTACAGCAAACTTCTGAGAACAAACTTTCGGCTGACGGCCGTAGTAATGGAAGCGCTAGACAATTTAAGTTTAGAAAATACATTGAGAGCAGAGGTGTGCAAGCTCATGTTGATATTTCTAAACAAAGCTCCACCAGAGTTTCTGCCAGCAATAGTTGGTTTTTTGATTTCTTCTGATGAGCCTTTTGAGAATTTGGTGGAGGTAAGCTGTAAGTTAAGCTTTCTTTGCAGTTGTAATAAACTTAAGTTTTATAGATATGACATAATTAAATGTTGTTGTTCTTCTGTTTATATTCTGTATTAACCTTTAAAGACGGGCCATTTAAATTCCGGTAATGGCAGCAGGCCGGAGTTAATTTAAATGCCCGCCATTGTAGAGTATTAAAAATTGTAAGCATGTTCCTGAAAATGCTGTGATTTCTACAATTTTTGTGATAAACGAACGAAATAAACCCTGCTTTTATCTAGAAAGAATATAGAATCAGCTATTTTAAGTTACCGATTTTAAAATGTGTAAAAATTGTTACACTGATTCCAAAAAGAAATTTTTTCCCAATTTTGAGCATCTGTCCACAAATTTGCATACAGTTTCTGCAGTATAAATGCATGCTGCTGACATCCTGTCTTACTATGTCTTATCTGGCAAAAGGAGTGGATGTTTATGTTTGTATTGCACATTCTCCAGTCACGTCGGAACCTTTCTGTATGCACGAGTGTGGGTGAAGTCATATTGTATTTTGTCCTTCAGAAACTCTGACTGTGTATATCTCAGACTAGCCACACAGAGGTACTGTTCTCGGAATAGCCCCGCATTGCCAGAACATTCAAGCCTAGCGCGTTGTGTTCGTAACGCTTATAAAACATCGCAATTTCAACTACCCACCATGGCCTCATTTCGCATGGAAGAAGCCGAAATTAAGGGGCAGCTGATAAATGACACTGATTCAGACTGTGGTACAGACGACTCTGAGAGTGGCGAGGAAGCAAGTGGCTCAGAAACCGAAGTCAACGAAGACCCATCATCTTCATCGGCAACCTGGGGACCACCAGACCAGCATGGCAGGAGGGGTGTGAATAATTATTCTGGTGGAGCTGTGGGGTTAAATATCAATGAAGCTCCACACATAAATAAGGATTCCACCCCTTTCTGCGTTTTCAGGCACTACTTCACAGGGATTATCCGTCTGCTGGTGGAAGAGACGAACAGGTACTACCACCAGTACTTAGACAGACTTCAAGACGGAACTTCTCCGTGGCCTGGCGTGACCGATTCCGAGATGTTTCTGTTTCTAGGAATAATCATTCAAATGGGACATGGCATTAGAGACAGACTAAAGGACTACTGGTTGACTGTAGAACAATTTGCGACGCCTTTCTACTCTAACACAATGAAATGAGACCATTTTCTGCACATTCTTCATTTTCTTCATTTTGCAGACAACAATACAGAAACTGACAGGAATGCCGACAGTTATGACCAACTATGGAAAATTTGGACCATCTTCGACACACTCAATGACACATATGAAAAATATTATAACCCTTCCGACCATTTGGCCATAGATGAGATAATTGTTAAATTCAAAGGGAGGGTGGTTTTTAGGCAGTACATTCCTAAGAAACACAAATGTGTCGGAATCTAAATCTTGAAAATTTGCGATGCCGCTGGGTATATTTATGACATGAAGGTTTACCTAGGAAAAGACAGGACACGTGCCGACCAAGACGTGACAGCGACACATGCTACAGTTAGGGACCTATGCAGACATATTGAGGGCGTAGGTCACAAACTGTACATGGACAATTTCTTTTCGTCACCAGACTTGTTTGACAAACTGATGACAAAGGACATAATGTGCTGTGGGACAGTCAGACCTAATCAGAAGGGCTTGCCTGACAATTTTCGATGGAGACAATTTCGACTGAAGAAAGGTGACATTCATGTTAGGGTGAGACGGAACTTGACAGCACTAGTTTGGAAGGACAAACGTGATGTTTACATACAGACAAACATGCACTCTCCTACAACAGATGGCAGTTTCTGTGATGAGCATGGAAATGTCATCAAGCCAGCAATTGTTGTTTACTACAACACGCACATGGGTTATGTCAACAAAGCGGACAGAATGGCAAACAGTTATAGCATCAGTCGTCGGACCTGGAGATGGACAAATAAACTGTTTTTCCATTTCCTGGATCTGACGATTCTGAACAGTTTCATCCTGTTGTCATCTTATGGCATGAAATTGTCATGCAGAGAATTTCATCTCGCCCTTTTGCACAACATGCTGGAACCTGCTGCAAGGGGTCCACCTCGCCCTCAATGGTTCATGGGTCAACCTCCTGCTGTGTCATCAGCGATGTCTTGATTAGAGGAGGCCACTCGACATCACTGGCTGACTTCCTCTAATAAGAGACTAAGGTGTCATGTGTGCTCTTCACATGGGAAATGGAGTTACATCCAGACAAAGTGCATGAAGTGTGACGTCAGACTCTGCATTTCCAGATGTTTCCAACAGTACCACACAAAGGCAACATTCAGTTAGATGATGCAGGAGGGAAGACTGTCTACTTATAAAGCTGGTGCCCAAAAATAATATAAATAGAACAAGAATTTATGTCTTAAAATTAGATTTTATAAAACTGTACGCTCGCGTGGACTGCGTGTACCCATACGGTGTCACACGGCCACTCGGCTGCACTTTAAAGGTCTCCATACCGTGTTACTAGGCTCTTAAAGGTTAATGTATTTTGCCATGTTAGGTGGTTCCCTTGTCACCTTGGCATGGCACATCCTCAGTTTGTGAATGGAGGAGACATCCTCCAGATATGGAGGGTTGCTGACAATATATTTAATTAGCAGTCCTGGACAGCTAAGAAGGGGAAGTTGTTCACCTTGGGGTGGGGGGGTCTTGTGTGGGTCTTAAACTCCTCACTGTAAAAAATAAGCTTGTTATGAAATGTCACAAAAGGTAGAAGTGGCAGAAGTGACTGGAATATTCATTGGCTCATATCACAGAATTTTAAAAGAAGCTTTAAGGATACACTTGGTCTCAGTGAAGGTTGTGCCATGGCTCTTTACTGAAGATCAGAGAATTTAGTGACTTTCAGATTGTGAAGATCTGCAGCAATGACCAAATAATGACTTCTTTTTTAACATTATTGGATTTGAGACTTGAGTTAATGAGTATGACATTGAAACAAAATGATAATCATTGCTATGGAAGAGTCCTAATTAGCCAGAACCCAGAAAAACACGAGTGCACTCAGAAGTAGAAATAGAATTTACCTTTTTTGTTTGGTTATAGCACCATTGTTCATCATGAGTTTGTTCCAGCAGTCCATAGTTTTAATTGGAGTTATTATTTGGAAATTATGAGGCATGTGAGGGATGGAGTGTGAATATAATTGCTGGAAATGTGGAGTGCAGGAATGTGGGATGTCCATCATGACAGTTAACTAGCAGATATAGCATTGTTCATTTGAGAGTTCCTGGCAAAATGCTCCATTCCTGGCCTTCCACAACCTCTCTGTTTACCTGACCTATCCCCTATGTATTTTTATATGTATCCTAAAATATAAATGACCCTAAAAGAAAGGAGATTTAGAATTGTAGAGGATATCATAGTGAGTGCAACAGATGAATTGATTGTGATTCAACAAACATCATTTGAACGTGCTTTTAAGAGTGGAAAGGTGCTCACATAAATTATCTTGAAGTGGATTAATGTAACTAAGCTGTAAATCTTGAAATTACATTGTTATTGATGAATTTTGGTAACTTTTTGAACAAACTTTATACTTCACTTCTCTTGAATTCTGAAAAAAAAAAAATGTAATTATTATCTATTGTTGGCCTTACTTTCCTTGGAAGGTGGTGTCAGGCCTGCGTAAAAAACTGGACCTAAATCTAGCGGATGGCTTAGATGGAAACATCCAAGTGCTCACATTATCAGCTTTACACTCCAGAGCACTGAGTTCCCAAAGACTGGCTGACATCTGGCTGAAAGCTGTATCAGGTGCACATAGTCCATCAGAACTTTACCCACTGGATATAGTTGTATTGCTGCTTCTCCACTCGTTTATTCCAGGCCTCAAAAAGCAAGTTCAGAATATTTTGCGCAGTCACATCAAAGGTGGTGTTGTTACTGAAGCACTCATAGAGAAGACTTTCACCATATATCTTGCCGTATGTATCTATATTTTTATTAGGAATAGTAATGTATCAGTGTCATGTGTGATCCTTTGAATGGTAAGCCACATATTCTGGCAGCCACACTAAAATTACGTGTGGCTAAGACTGCTTATTTCAACAAGCCGGTAAGTCTGATACATAGGTTAGTTGAATCTTTCTTGGTGACAGTGAGTCAGTCCTAATATTTGGTATCAGTGGTTAAACTGGACATAAGGGACAGTGTTATTTCACAGATTGTATTGATTGATGCTCAGTTTCCACTTGCCAGGTCTCAACCAATGCCATGCATGTTGTTATTTTTTGGTTGTCACCTCTGACTTCACATGTGGTGGCAGTGTTGTTGCTGGTTTTTAGAAGTTATGTTGTAACACCAATATTCATTATTTATTGTCACGTATTAATGAGCAGACATGGGTTTGGATTGATTATTGAATTTGTTGAATGCTTATGACTTGAAATCTTAAATAACTACAACACTCTCACTAAACTACACACTCTACAGATTCCTGTAGCACACACTGTGTCTTCTCAGTTTGTTCTCTCTTTACCAGTTGTTGCTTGGCAGTGGCAATCCCTCTTTTTCTGTGCTCATGGCCAACCATATGCTGTGACTGCTGAATCACAGTTAATTAACTGGTCCTGTTAGTCCATGTTATGTAGCTTCAGCACAGACTCACCTACCAGGGGTCATGTCACAATATATTTATTAATTTTTCGTCCAAGTGTATAAACTCTGGATACATGATAAGGTAAAAGCTAAAGCTATCCCAGTAACAGGTCATGGAGGCCCATAAGGTTGTGAGATGTCAAGGCTTCCACATTTTCTAGACAATCAGCTCACAAATGGTGGTGGGGTTGTCAGCCTTATGCATCGGCCACCCTTTGCTCCCAGGAAGATTCCTGGTACTCATTTCTCTTAGAGGTTGAGTTGACCTCAGAACCATAGTGCAGCTGGGAGGATTAGGTCAATTGAAAAATCTATTGACCTCATTGGGATTTGAACCCATGACCTTCCACCTTGTAGCATGCATGGTAGCTTTCTGAAAATTTAGGACAGATGTGAGTGTATCAACATTGTGACAGGTGTATGGAGCATATTTATACATATTGAGACATACAGCATGCATGCTTTCCACATTCATGTAGTGAAATTATTTTCCATTAGATGAGTGAGTGTGATAGGTTCCAGACGAGAGCAGAGTGCATTGAAGGTTTCATGGCTCATTATGAGGTTATCAGCACAGCAGATTACAGTTCAAATGTTCTTTGAAAAGTGACAGAACCTGGTGTTTCCTGGTCAGTCATTAAACTGGATGACAACCCATTATGTGGATAACCACCACGATTGCCTGTAACCACGAAGTTCTGGCAGACATTCTTGAAAGAGAAAGTTTAGAGTGATGAGGTATTATGCTTTAGGAATTGATCTCTCTGACTGCTTTTTATCTCCTGTAGGTGGAGGCCATCTGTCTGATGGGCAGTCACTTGTAAGATGTAACGGAATCTGAGGTGCCTTTGAAGATCACATTTTATTAATTGCTTCAGAAGTATTTGAACATTATGCGAATGCTAGCAGAAGTATGTAGCCTCTGAGGAGCAGTATTGTCATGTGTTAGTGACTAGACGCAGGGTTTGGAATGACATTTGGATTTATTGCACATTTATATTCTGCAACTACAAGTAATTGTAACTATCATCAGTCTACACACTTAACTAATCACTGCTGCAGACACTAATTCTTCCCAGTCTGCTATGTCTTTACTAGTCATTTCTTGGTAGTGTCTCCCAGCACTGTCTTCTGTTCCATGCTCACGTCATTCCCAGCTCTACCATCTCACAGCTGGTCCTCAGCTACTACTGCTGGCTCTTACTGGCTATCTTGGCTCCCACTTGCAATGATTTCACTCCTAGTCTCTTGTTGTCTAAACTTGGCACAAACTGTTTGGAAAACATTGTTCACAGCAATCTCTTATATTTTTGAGTGTGTATCCATTGCCGCAGAAGCATTCTTAGTTTACCATTACCTAGCAGTATACTTTGTTTAAGTCATCATGTCACAGTATTTTGAAGATAGCTGCATGCATCTGAGGGTATCTTTCAACCATCATATCTGAGATATGGATCCTATCTTAGAATTCTGTTTTGTAGCTGTCATTATTACTTTGCATCTTGTGCCTTTTCTAGATTTATCAGGGGTTAAATGTTTTTTTTTTCTATTTGAAGTCAGAAACTTCAACAGTTTATTGTTAAAAAACTTTAATTTTTGTTGTTGTATTTCTTATTAACTGCATTACTTTCATGGCCTAAGAAACAGAATGACTGTAACTTAAATACTATGACATTACACCAAAAGTGTGGACTCACAAAACATGGAAGTGTCCCAGAGACATCCACTGTTACAAAAGTGGCTTATTAACACATGTTTCTGCAGCAGTGAATACATGCACAACAGTCGGGAAGTGGCAGCATGCCAGAACCTTTACCAACAGGACGAATTAGGGAGAATCCATAATTTGAGCCTGTAACCAGTCAGTTACAGTTTACAGTTGAATCTGAAAAAGGAATATGTAATAATATATAATTATTATTTTTTAATATATATGAGACAAACTCNGAAACATGTAGTGTGGAGGAAGGGAAGAAGAAAGAACTACAATTAAATTGTTGCACTTAAGATGGAGTTTGTCTCATATATATTGTGTGAGTGTAACAGGATGCTTAAATATAATGTTATTTTTTAAGTTTGTTATTTAATGATGCTGTCAATATTGGGACTATTTGGCATTGATGATGATTAGTGAATTTGGAGCAGTTGCTCAAGTGAGAATTGACAAGGGAAACAGAAGTACTTGGAGAAAGTATGCCCCCCCCCCCATGCTGCTTTATTCACATCAGATCCCACATGACCTGACCTGAGATTGAACACAGGCCACCACATTGGAAAGCTAACTAAGGCAGGCCTGTAATGAATGAATGTATGAGGAGTGGGCCATAATAATCTGGCACTTGCGCTCTGACCTTCCATGATCTATTGTGCTTCTTTTGATTAACCCTTCATTAATCCTACACTTTGAATGAAATGTAGAACTTTATTTATGGGGGCGTCATAGTAGTCACTTGGTTCCGTAGAGAACTATCCCATGTGACGAAATCTTAAATAAGCCATGGCCTCACAATCACATAAGATATGTGTGGCTGATTCATATTCTTCTAGGCACCTTTCTCAAGTGGGGTCATCTGTCAATCCCAGTTTGAGAAGGTGTCCTTTTAGGTGACAGGGTCCTGTAAATAGTCCTACCACCCATACTAATTGGCCTCTGTTTAATTTAAACAGATCCTATGTTCTCTTGGCAGAGGCCCCTGTATAAGTCTCTTTTCCTCTCTGAGTCCAGTTAAGGATTCACGATGTTTTTTGTAATTTCTGTTTGTCCAGTTCCTAACCCCTTTCTTGGCAACTCCAGTTGAGATGCCACAAGCTGGTTTGGGTCCTGTGAATGGATGTTTACATCCCATTCTTGCCAACTGATCTGCTGTTTCATTACCAGCAATAACTTCATGACCTGGCACCCATATCAGTTGAACTTTGTTATGTTTTGCCAGTTATATGAGGGATTGATGGCAGACCCAGACCAGTTTTGAGGTGTTCCGGTATTGCAGCTTGTCTGTTTGATAGAATGTAAATGTTTCTATTCTTATAGTTCCTATCTAGATTCTCAACTGCACATACCTTAATGGCACACAACTCTACCTGGAATATTGTTGTATACTGCCCAAGGCTGAAACTGAGTTTCTGCCTTGTACCATGACAATACATCCCAGCTCCAGTGCCTTTATTTGTCTTGGAGCCTTCTCTGTATGAGATTGGTCCCCCCTTTTTGTTGGGTGAACCCCCCTCTTTCTATTCATTTCTATCAGGGAATCTGATCATGAAGGGTTTATCATAAATATGTCTTGGTATCATTTTATGAGACCCAATCTGTAGGATGCTTTTTTGTTTATGTCCTGAATCATTTATGCATGTCCTGAACCTTCAGATTTGGGTTTCCATTGATCATTGCAATGTAGCCTATAATTTCCTGCCTTGGCCTTTGCTTCAACCTGCAGGTGTACTGGAAGAAGTCTGAGGAGAACTTCAATTACAGCTGTTGGAGCTGTTCTCAGTGCTCCTGTAATTCCCAAGCAGGCCATCCTTTGCAGTTTGCTAAGTTCTGCCTGGCTTGTTTTGAATTTAACTTTGGTCCACCATACAGTGGCAGTATATGTAACTATGGGTCTTATAACTGCAGTGTATATATATCCTGTATATCACCTTATATAATGAAAAAATTTATTTTAGTATGGGTAGTGGAAGCTGATGAAGACTTAGTAATCTTTTCTAAATGCAAGATAAGCGCATAATGAAGAAAATTATACATTATGTGTTCAAAAAGGCCTTTAATACAGATTAAGCAGTATTGTTTAGACATCTTTTGAATGTAATGCAGATAATAGTATGTTGACTGCATCATATCGGAGGAAAGACATGTTATTGGTTTATGAAACTGTAGTGAAAGGAATTCTGTTGGAACTTTCAAAGTTGTGCACAAATTAGTATACTGTATGCTTAATACAAGCCTTTACCTTGCCCTGAATTTTACCCTTGACTTGTATTTGGTCTTAATTTATGTAGTCAGGGTTTTGTTGTAATAGAATGGAAATTATCATTTTGTCTCCATTATAATGTATATTTCATTGTTACAGGCAATGAAGGAGTACTTGAAGTCTGCGCTAGAAATTGCAACAACTCTTTTTAAATCACCTGATCCACCTGTGTCATACCTAGGAAGTGTATGGTTCAAGTAAGAAAAATTGCTTTCACTTCTATTATTACGTTATTTTTAAAACTGTGTAATATTTCAATTAAAATTTACCAATAATAAAAATAACACCATATAAGAGTTGTTCACTTCATGAGGATTGTTGCTCCCACAGATTCTCAGGTTAATATCACTTAACATTATCTGATAAATGGAGTGTGGCCTTGTCATGCAAGACAATTTTGGCTATATGTTATCTTTGGTCTTGGGAATAAAGTCACAGCAAAATATTTAGCAAACTTCTTGGTCTTGGGCAATTATGTATTGCAACATTTGGTACCTATAACTTAAATTTTAAACATTTCTATAGAATTTTGTGCACTGTTGTGTGTGACATGTTTAATTCTCAGGCAATATGCCTGGTTGATTTGTGTGGACTGTGAATGGAAGATGCCTGAATATGTCAATTTACAAGTGGTATAGACTGTCTCATTAAACTAATTACATTTGCAAAGGAAAAAACTCAAGATGACCAGTCACTGAAGCTCAAGTGAATGAAACTCAGGGCTGGTCATGTCTGTCTGTCCACATTTTAACTCAAGAACCTAAAGGTAGATTTTTATGAAATTCACTATTGTAGCATTTTACAGAACATTGTAAAATCATGTCAGTATTCACTTAAGTCAGATGTATTTAATGATTTTACATGAATACCTACATCTGTTTGCGCACATATCTTGCTAAATGTTTATTGGAGAGAGAAATGTTTCGAAGAAACAATGCAGAGAGAAACAAAACACATTTTTTGTGTAATACAGTTTTGCTGCAAATGTTTCAATTTTCAAGATAATTGAACAAAAGGATGTTATGAGAACATTTTCAAACTTTGTACATAGTAGTCAACCATGATCTGTAGAACAAAATGAGAGTTAAGAGGAAAATGAAACAAACTCTACTGCTTTTACAGGCATTGAAATTAGATTTTTGTTCACTTAATTAAGTGCTTTATTTCAGTACAACTTTGAAGTATATCTATGCATGAAGTTAAAAAGAATGCTTGTGGAAACTGTGTAGTCCAGTAGGAATAACAGCTTTCTAATCTTGTTGCTGTGTGTAATGGAAAACCTTTTCTTATAGGTTGATGCTTGTACATTTGGAACATTATCAGAGTCAGTCTATAATTCTGGAACTACTCCTGCTCATAGGAACTTGTAATGTAAATATTGCAAGATCAGCACTTGAAGTATTAGCTGGTGTTGATTCCCGTCACCTTCTACAACATACTCTCCTGCTCATGGTGAGCTGTACACATTCATCATTGTTATCATGTCATCATGTTATCTTAACTTTAATGTATGTATGTTCATGTGAGTTCACTGTATAAATTTGAATATTATTCTGTTCAAGCATTTGGGCAAGTGAGATATGTGATTCATTGTAGAACATAAAGTAACATATTTGAAAGGTGACAGTTACATAACTGGACTGATTCTATATAGAATTTGAAGCTTTTATGGCAGCAATGTACAATGAAGTCTTTACATGGGATTGTCATGGCAGTGTGGAATTGGTATCTGGCATTTCAAAAACAACTGTCTCCATCATCAGGGATTCATGTAATATGTTGTGTCACATGCTGTGTTTATATATGAATCTGTCTCCTTCTGAACCTGGACTGCATGGAAATGGGTGGCAGAATCAGTCTGATATCTTATTTTGTTTGTGGCCAGGTACCATGAACATCTTGGATAAAATCCATTATCTGTGTGAAAGTTGTTTGGGTGCAGGTGAATCTTAGTGGCCTCCATAACTAAGTGGTCCATGTAGTCTGTCATTCTTGACAGTACCATAGTGCCCTTGAAGTTTGTTGACTGCATTGCCTCAGTGCTAACTAATGGCACTACTGACTTATTTGGGCACATGGCAAGGAGAAATTAAAAGAGGTTCTAGAGACATCCCAACAGTATCCATTCAAACATCAGATTCCTGACAGAAACAGAAGAGGATATCTCACAGCCATTTCCCAATGTCCTGGTCAGAAGGAAGCCCAGAAGCTTGTTGGGGAACACAGTCTACAGGAAACTCACTCACACACACACACACACACACACACACACACACTGATCTCTACCTACATGCCATTTCTCTTCGTTACCCACTGCAAAAGCATGTGTCCTCTCAGTACTCGTCTAGCAGGTGAAGACTGTATGTGACTCAGAAAATCCATATGAAGAAATCTGTATCTGAAGAGGACTTTCAAGCAGAATGGCTGCAATACAATGGATATTATACCAATCCCCAAATTCTAGAGTGAAGTCACTTTCACAACAAGAGAAGCTGACTGGAGTGGCCACTTTACCTATATGCAAAACACCTCCAGCAGGATGAGCAGGCTTATAGTGCTGCTAACATCAGAACTGTGCATACAAACAAAACAAAACAAACTCCATGGTTTTAGTCTGCAAGCAAATTATACTGAACTATGCATAACACAACAAAAAAGAAAATTATTTTATACTTCTGTAGGAACATCAGTTAACATAAATTTTCTATTCTGGTTGATTGGATATATAGGAGTCGTAGTGGCTTTAATTTTGAGAAAATTCTGAAAAATCTGATGCATTGGTAATAATTGTAATACTGTGACATAAATATCCATACAAAATGCAATGCAGTAGTTTAAGAATAAGTTATTAGTATATATCTGCCTGATGATTGCTTTTTGTAAGACGAGACACGGAGTAAGATACCATTGAAATCAGTAAGCTCTTTATACAAAGTTAATGTGAATGAGATTATGAGAGATGTTGTGTTGTGATGGATAAACAAAAAACTGGAACACAATATATTCATAAAAATATTATGTATGTCAGTTGTGTACACTTTTCAATTATTGATATATACAAGGGTTGGATTAAAAGTAGTGGCAGCACTGCTGTAACATGAAAGGTGTGTGTCAGGTGGCTCTAGCACCATCTGTAGCTGATAGCAGAAGTTCAGTTGACGTGGTGCAGTGAGTGGCTCTGCTGCGTTTCATTGAGTTGCATTGTGCATCGTCTTGAAATGTAGGAGCCCAGTTCAAGCACCCTAACAACATGTTTACAAAACAAGAACAACCCTCCTGGATAAAAATTGAAGTTGCACAAGGTCATAGTGCACAAAACTGTTATCAGGGACTACTAGAAGCATGTGGTAATGCTGCTTTGCCATATCGCACAGTGGCAAAATGGGTGAAATTGTTCCGTGAAGAGAGGGATGCCATTCAGGGCAGCCATCATTCAGGACGACCCCGTGTTGACAGCCACACAATTCAGCTTCTTGCTTCTTTACTGGATGTCGATCGTGGATGGGCTGCGTAAGAGTTAGCTGCTGAGGTGGGCGTATGTCACAAAACCGTGCTCCACATTCTGCAAGATATTCTTGGATACCGCAAAATTGCAGCGCGTTGGTTACCCCATACAATGTCTGAGGTGCAACAGTGGCAATGTTACGCAATTGCACAGGACTTGTTGGACTGGTACCAGAGGGAAGGTGACGACTTCCTTGGAAGGATTGTCACTCTGGACGAAACTTGGGCTTGCTCATATGAACCGCACTTGAAGGGACAATCAGATGAATGGAAGCATCCTGGTTCTCCTTGTCAAAGGAAAGTGCGCCGTACACAGAGTAATGTGAAGGCGATGATCATTGTGGCATATGACATTGATGGAGTGATACTGCACCACACTTTACCTCAACAACAGACAGTAAATGCTGCCTACTACTGCAATTTCCTGCATACAGGAGAAAGCGATGACACCTGTTGGCAGTGAACCCCCATCATCCTTCATGACAATGCAAGGGCTCATACCGCTGATGCTGTCAAGGATCTCCTTCGCTGCTGGCGGTGGGAGATACTGTAACATCGCCATACTCACCCAATATGAGTCCATGTGATTATGATCTCTTTGCGAAAATGAAAGAACCACTGTGAGAGGCACATTACAACACAAGAGAGGAGATTATTCGTGCTGCTGGACGTCAACAGAAGTGGACATGCTGACGGTGTACAGTGCTTACCACAAATTTGGCAGAAGATGGCACACATGGGGGTCGATTATATTGAAGGAATGTAAGTGTGTTTACCTCAGGTAATAAAGTAATTTCAGAACTGTAGAGGTGTTGCCACTACTTTTTATCTGACCTATGTACATGGTCTTTGACTGAAGAAATGGACTACTTGCAGATATGCACAGTGGATGGGTTAACACAGTGGAGTAGTGGACATGTTAAAATAATGTTACAGGGCTTGTTGGACAACCTACAGGACATGGATCTGATTCAGGTGGAACATGTGATGGATCTTCTCTGCAATCTTGTATATGGTGGTGGTGGTGTAGATTCTCTGCATGAAGATGAAATCCACATGATGATACGCAAATATCTTTCTAGCTCCAGTGACATGTATGTGTTCTTCCACTTTTTGCTGTTTATATAAATGAAAATGGCTATAATATGCGTGTATTACTTTAGAGTGCAAGTAACCTGCATTATTTCTGAACATAGTCCCAATCTTTTTCAAGACACATTGTCCAGCATTTCACAGATTCCGTAGGACAATCATGGAAATTGTTTCTTTTGTTGCTTAAGCAACCATTTCGGCACTGCGCATTGCACCTCATTGTCATTGCGAAAGTGAATTTTATTGGATGCTATTTTTAAGTGTATTAAGAGAGGATGGTCACTCTGTGTGTGTGTGTGTGTGTGTGTGTGTGTGCGCGTCTGCGTGTGCGTGGGGGGGCCGTAGTAAGATGAAGGAAGGACTGCTACTGACAGTCCTTTGGTTGCTGCAGTCATGATCTGAGAGATATGTAGACATGTCTTTTTTCCAGCTGCCTCCGTTACACAGCAGTTGGTGTTGTTTGTGGCTAATGACTGGCATCAGGCTGTCCTTCAGAAACTTTGTTCTCTTATTCAAGTGGATCTTTCTGCTGGAAGTCTGTCAGTATGGTAAAACTTATGTTCCAGATAATGGTTGATGTAACCTTTCCAGCTGATGGATTTTCTTCTTCTTCTTATTTTTGAGGAAATTGACTCAGTCTTTGCTAGCTTGTTTTGTTTCAGGCTGGAAATGGTGCACCTATGACGCATAATCAGACATTGTATTTGAAAGTCATCAGTCTCTGCTTTGCAGTTGACAAGCAAGGCCTGTTTAAGGCACATCTGCTTAATTTCAAATATCAGTTATCATCAGACAAGGTGCACTTACACCTTTCTTTACCTATCTCATTATGGATTCAACCGACATTACTCCGCAATGCCACAGTGAGGTATAAAAATTTCCAGCAATTTTCTTCAGTTAGTCTCTCTACTTCAGCAGTATCTTTACAACTGAAGACATGGTTGCTTGGTCTGGTCATGTAGCTTCATCCATATCCTATGCACCATCTTTAAAATTCTGCACCAACTTGTACATCTGGTCTTTAGGTAAGTATCACCATATATTGCTGCATTCTGTAATAAATGTTCTGTTTTGTAGCTTTCAGCTGCCAAGTCAGAAATAGTGAAATCCTTGTCTAATGACCCTCTGTGGGAATGGCTTTTGCCTATGTATAAACCCAATCTGTAGTTTGTAAGTGTGTTGATCAGGGCATGTATTGTCAGATAGCAGTTAGCTCACTAATCTATAACTGGCATGAATACTTGACTGTAAATGGTTAAAAGGTCAGTTGTAATCATCTCTGTAATTTTGTGTAAATATGTGTTCTGAATGCTATAAGTATTTCTCACACTGTCTTAAAACATACCTAAAATTGAACTTGAGAATTTTGCAGGGCTTAGATTGCCTGACTTGGTTTACACTACAGTTTGCAATTGTTAGATAAAATTCTGACAACCAGTATATTAAGTTCATCTATAATTTAACATGTTAGGGAGGATAACTCTGAAAGTACAATGTATACCTTCATTTTTAAGCAAAAAAAAAAATTTTTGAAAAGTTACATAAAATTTGCTGCCTCAGTATAGAACTCTGGTGCCTCATTGTAAAGTATTGTTATTTTATTGTAAAGTGTTTTTTTTTCTTCACATTAAATTAGGTTAAAGCAGAAGGGTGTTGTGGGAGCAGTAATGGCACTAAAACACATGGCCACTTCAGAGATAGATTCTCAGGAAAATATTCAGTCTTCTTCAAGTACTGATGACAGCCATTTGTCTGAGCGAGCCAGCCGTGCTAAGGGGCTTCTTGGTAAATTGATCTTTTTTTTAATTATACATCATAGAACCTGATAGTTACAATATGCTAACGGGATATAGAGAAAAGAAGAAGTTAACGGAATAAGAGCCCAGACACAAATTGTTCTTTGTCTTTTTGGTATGTCAACAATGAAAGTTGTAAGACTGCACTTGTTATCTTCACCAGGTGTGTCAGCATGTAACAACAACTTGAGAACTCCTGAAAGGATTTCTTGACATTGGGGATATTGGGGAGTATTACTAAAATTTAGCAGTGTGGTTCGGTTTTGTTTAAAACTGCTATTTGTAACTGACATTTTACATGAGGACCTACATGCAATTCTGCATACTTCTTAGGTGTAACCAGATGTTTATTGGAGCAAAAAATATTCAGTCATGGTTGCAGAGAAACATGGAAGATGTTCTGTGACCATTGTATTTTTCCATGTGTCTTATGGCTTATCAGATAAATTAAGTAACTAACTTCATGGAGCTGAGCTCTTCTTGAGAAGTCGCCAGTTGTGCAGCTGCTCAAGATCTTCCAAATTTTTTTGGAACCTGAAGCTTCATTACTGTATTCACAAAAGTCCTTCACTGGTCCCTATCCTGAGTCAGATAAATCCAGTCCATATCATACCATCCTGTATCTCTAAGATCCATTTCAATATTATCCACACTCCTACATTTTGGTCTTCCTAGTGGTCTCCTTCCTTTTGGCTTTCCCACCAAAATCCTGTATACATTTCGCTTCTCCCCCACTTATGCTACATGCCCTGCCCCTTGACTTGGTCATTTTAATTATACTTGGCAAAGAGTACAAGTTACGAAGCTCCTCATTATGCTGTTTTCACCAACCTCCTATCATGTCATCTCTCTTCAGTCCAAATATTCTCCTTAGTACCCTGTTCTCAAACACCTCTCAATCTATGCTCTGGCTTTAATGTCAGAGACCAAGTATCACACCCATACAGAAGCACAGGCAGGAATGTGGTTTTGTATATTATAATTTTTATGTTTTTAGACCACAGATGAGGAGACGAAAGTTTCTGGGCTGAATAGTAGCAAGCATTACCTGAGTTCAATCTCCTCTTTTAATTTCCTCTTGAATCAAATTTTGGTTTGTTATTGTCCTTTCCAAATATTTGAACTGTGTCACATTTTCAAAGTTTGAGAGAAGGATATTGAATAAAATTTTGTATGAAGTTGATTAACCTGATATCTCAACAGTAATTACTACAGTCAGCTTTATCACCATTCATGTAAATTGGTACATTACCTATAACTAACAGACTCTCTCCTCTTAACTGCTGATTTGATTGTCTTGTGTACAAAAAAAAAAAATGTACCTAATTCACGATTCTCACTCCACTTTACATAGAAAAATATATATCCACCTGTTGGTTTGGTCCCACCTCTGTTTCATCTGATCTCCTGTACTCCCACTAAATATAGCTTATATTTTGGTATTTCTTTTGCAGCTGTCATAAGGTAACTTGCCCTCTACACACTTCTTACATTCCATGTGTCAGATCTCATGTCCATTTTCCTTAGCTTAAGTCATTTATCCAAAGAATCCATCCAAGTCTGAGGCCCTTTTTGTCATACGTAACAAGCTTATTTTTTATGGTGAGGAGTTATCTCCACATCCAACCCCCAAGCTGGAGGTTGGGACCTCGTTAGCTGTCAACGACTGCTTATTCAGTATCTAATATGCCAACATTGTTATGCTGTTTGTACATTTCCTAACTTGTTTTCTCCATTATCTAGTATACACATACTCTTATTTTAAGTGATGTGACCAGTGTGTCCCAGAATGTGTAGGCACTTGAATAATAATAGACAGTTCTTTGTTGGTTAAATTAGTGTGATGTTACATTGCACATCCTCAGATGCCTGTATTATCTCCATATATAAGGTTTAAATTAGGACTCAGCTGATTGAGGATGGGTCTAGTGCCTGTCACATGGGAGCAGAATGAGATTCTGGACAGAAGGTCAATTGACCAGGTCTAGGAGATGATAAAGGGTTCTGCAGTACATGTCATTAGGAGACTTTCGTAACACAAGAAGAGTTCAGAAGACTGTTAGTTACACCTTGTCTAGCTTGAGGGATTTAGTGCCGCACCAGGTTGAGTTGGAGTAAACTGAGGAATCCAGGGCACATGCAGCTGCTAAAGACAGAATTACTGTTAACAGGTTGTTATAAAATGTATGAAGGCCAATGGAACCATTCCTGAAGGCAGCAGGACTGCATCCTAAGAGGAAGGTCACAGAAGAGAGGGGGGGGGGCAGATGTACAGTCATAGAGTTGTTATGTAACCACCTGTTGTCTCTAATTTAGTTGAGACGGAAGATTGAGTTGATCCCCCTAAAGCTTGTGGGGCAGGGGGGGGATTGTTGTGGGTCCTAGCTTCATAATTGATATAATAGCACACTGAAAATTTGGATTCTATGTATGTCGAGACTGTTATAGTTCTGCAGCTTTCTTTATTACTGGGTGATACTCAGTGAGACACTTGCCAGCCTCTGCAGACATTTAAGTCCAACCTGGACTGTTGCCAGACCAAATCTCAGCCACAACCTTCACAATCAAAGAATAAACCAAGCAAGAAGCAGGCAGCAATCAGAGTCCTCCATGGCATAGTCTTTGACTATGTGATGGAGGTGATATATTTCTTTGAAACATAGGCTTTTTCCAAACTGCAGTGTTATAACCCATAATCCAGAAGACTGTACTCTTTGTGGTCATCATTAAGATCAAGAAGGGTCGCACCAAGCTCAAGCGGTTAGTCGCTGGCTTCCCACCGTGGCGGCCTGGCTTCGATTCTGGTTCCGGTCAAGTGGGATTTGTGGTGGACAAAGTGGCGCTTGGGCAGGTTTTCTCCGAGTACTTCGGTTTCCCCTGCCAATCTTCCACCAGTTGCTCCACAGTCACCCTCACCTATCATCTGGGGCTGGTACAATAAGCCAGAAGTGGCCACAGTACAAGGGAATTAGTCCCACCCCAGTAACAATAAAAAAAAAAGACCAAGAAGGTGAAGAAAGGATAATTTGAAATGGATCATACAGAAATAGGTCGGTTGTTTGTTTCTGATGTGAACTGAAGTGTTACAGGATTGAGTCATTGGGATTTGGTGTTTGTGTTGTTTTTTCTTGTTCTGTTATCTGAGGGCTTGTTAATCTGCATGAATCTAAAATTCTGTCAAAAAAGTATATTAATTTAATTCTTAAGATAATGACCACCCTTTCATGTTTTGATTCATTGTTGTATTTGACACATTTCAGAACTTGTTATGGAAAGTGTGAAGAGTAGTGTTGCTTGTGTGGGTCTTCTCTATGATCAGCTGGCTGCCATGGTCTGTAGGTGCGATGCACTTGACATCAGCTTTTTGGTAAGACATACATTTTGTAGTTTGTTAGTTATTATTTGAGATTCTGTCACTGCTTACAATTTCTTTGCTGATATCTGGCTACAGTTTGTAGGATTCTTACCAGATCTACTCCTTTGACCCTTTGCAATCCTTTTTATTTGCAACCTCACTTCTAAAGTTACAGCGGGTTCTTACTCACAAGTGTTATGCACTGTAATTTATGTTAAATTGATGAGATTATTTCACCTTGCAGAAATGGATTGCAGAAGAGATTGCAGACAGGTTTCAGGATTATTTTGTCAAGGAACTGAAGGAGGTGTCCAAAATGGGGTATGTTGCTGTGTGGCAAAATATGATATATTTGGTTTAATTTGTTAAACTTAATCACTTTTGAACATTGTGGTAATTTTAATAATGAATGATAAATTCTAAGATTTTAACTTTTTTCTCCAGCACTCCTTTCCCAGCCCTTTTATTGTCTGTCCTGTTTTCATTACTTTACCCTTCCTTGCTTCCACTTCTATACTTTGAAATGTTCTAGGTATTTCATAATTATAAAAGATGTGAAAGTATCTTATGTTATGTTAACCAAACCTGTGTTCAACAAGGGATTCCTGTGTGTAAAATGACATATTCTGTGGGAGCCATGTCCTTTGTAAGTACTTACAAACTTCTCAAGTATACGTATGTCACCTGACTTTCATGTACAGGATGAAGTCTGTTTGGGACACCCGTGAACCATTTGATTGAGTATTATGAAAATGGTATGTATATTCCATCTGATGCTGCTCCATATTTGTACCTTTAATTCTGTTACTAACTTGATAGTCATGCAAATGCATAAGCTGAGAGCAGCATTATTCATTATTAAAGGAGTATTTCTGAAATGTTGAATGGTATTAGAACTTTATGAAGAATGACCCATTTAAAATCTATATTAACTTTACTGTTTGGTGGATGTTATTGTTGATGTAATGTGGTTGGGTGTGTATAGAACTGAAATGGTGATGTGGAGTGAGTGGAACACTTTATGAGAAGTCAGTCACCTACTCAAGAAATTCTCTACTTTTTATGGAACCTGGAGGTTCATTACTATGTATTCACAAGAGCCTGTCAGTAGTGCTTTTCTTATGGTAGTTTTCAGTAAAGGCAAAGACACTTATGATTGCCATGTTGTAAAGGGGTAACACAGGCCAGAAGCTGGGTTTTTTTGCTTGGATCTTATGTAGCAGTAGGTTATTGTAATTTAATGTTGTATTTGAAGAGAGTCGTCTTCTGGGTTTAGGCACCGTGTATTCTTCGTGTTGGCCGACGTTTCGGAGGAACGTAGCGCCTCCATCTTCAGAGCAGTTGAATGGCTGGAATGCGGAGAGCAGTAGCAGTATTTATTTCTAACATTGTCTGTGAGCAGAGGAACATCCTACATGAATAAGAAAATGGAAGGCTAATTGGATTGGTTATATCTTACTCAGTAACTGCCTTCTAAAAGAAGTTATTGAAGGAAAGATAGAGGGGCAGATAGAAGTGACCAGAAGACGAGGAAGAAGATGTAAGAAGATGCTGGATGACCTTGGGGACAGAAGAGGATATTGTCATTTGAAGGAGAAAGCTCAAGATCACATTAAGTGGAGGAACTGTTTTGGAAGAGACTGTGGACCTGTCGTCTTGACAGATTACTGATGAATGACTGAATTTCTAACTTTAAGAAGCTGTACACTAAAGCACTCTTCGAGCGTTGTTTTGAGGTGACTGAAGGGACCAGTCTCACTCAGAGAGTTTTGGAAATATCACTTCCACATCGTTGCCTGCCTCAAGATGATCGAAAAGGCATGGGAGGGGGTTACCAAGAGAACCCTCACTTCTGCTTGGAAGAAGCTTTGGCTGGAGAACGTTGTTGAATGTGACTTTGAGGGGTTTGAGGTAGTACCTTTGGAGCCTGTAGTCAGCGAGATTGTGTCTTTGGCCAAGATCATTGGGCTGGAGGTGGATAACAATGATATTGATGAGATTGTGGAAGAGCACAGCCAAGAGCTGACCACCGAAGAGCGTATGGAGTTGCATTGTGTTTGACAGCAAGAAGTTGTGGAGGAGAGTTTGTCAGAGGAGGAGGAGGAGGTAACAGCAAAGCAACAATCTTCTGGCGCAATAGGAGAAATGCTGAAAGCATGGGAAACTGTTGCATCATACATTGAGAAACATCACCCTAATAAGGCAGTGGCTATGCACGCTACAAATTTATTTAATGATAATGCTGTGTTGCATTTTCACCAAATTTTGAAGCATCAGCAAAAACAAATGTCTCTAGACAGCTTTCTAGTAAAAAAGAATTAGATAGGTATCATAAATAATAAACTAATTATTTCGATTATTTTTTTGTTTTCTGCTAATCGAATTCGCATTCCAGGTTGGTTCATTCCACATAGAAGAAAAGATGAAGATGATTCACGCTCCTTAACAATGTATATATAATTTTCTTTGAATAAATGTTATACATACAATTTTTTGAGTATTTTTTCGGCATGGAAAAATTGTTTCGCATTACGAGTAAGATTCTGGAACGAATTATGCTCGTTAAGCGAGGTTCCACTGTATATATATATGTATATAGGCATTGCAGTCTTCATTTCTCTCTTGGCAGTGGGGTTAGCAGACAGGCATCTGTATATGGTGTAATGCAGGAGAGAGGCCATCTTGTGCTAGTACATTGTTGCCGTGATTATATTGGAATTTCCTTTGTCTGCCAAAAGAATGTCTTTCATATCATTTGACCTTGGAAGTGTTATTCCTCCATGTTGTGCATTTTAGGATGCAATAGGTTCCCTGTTGTATTCTGCTTTATCAGTAATCTCTGGGTTATAATCAGAGTACTTCCAAAGTGGGTTTTTCTGCTGTGAGGACACATTGAAGGCAGCAAAAGCCATTTTTATTGTAATAGATGTGTATGGTCATATTTTTATGTGATAATGAGTCCATTGAATCATAAGAATACAAGAAACTGTAATTGGTTGAGGCACTGTGCTACAAGCAGGAAGGTCACGGGTTCAAGTCCTGATGAGGTCATTGGATTTTTTTTCAATTGACCTAATCCTTCCAGCCTCGCTATGGCCCTGGAGTCGACTCAGCCTCTAGCAGAAATGAGTACCAGGAATATTCTTGGGGGTAAAGGGCGGCTGGCTCATAGTGCTGACAACCTTGCCGCCATCTATGAGCCGCTTGTCTAGAAAATGGGAACCTCAACATCTCACAACCTCCATGGCCTGCTACAGGGATACCTCTACTTTTACTTTTACAGGAGTTTCTGTCATGTTTGAGAAAGTTGTGTTCATTTTAACAGGTATACACAGTTTTCCTTGGAAGCTTCAGAAGAAGATTATGAAGATGCTATCTGTGTAAATATAGAAGGGGTGTTAAGGAATGAAAAATCACAAGGGTGAGTTCATTGTAAGTCTACAAATCTGCAGAGAATGACAGTTAATGTATGTTATTAGGTCATTGTTGACTAACATTGTTTCGAAGATGTAGTCTCCAAGTCTGTCCAAACAGTTATAACATATCTAGAGGATTTTTTTAAATTTCTACTGATATTGTGTTAGTATTTCATCTTGTCTTTAACAGATGGCAGTTTTGTGCTCTGCTTTTATCTTTCTTTGACCAAAGAATCTTCACAAGAGTAGAGATTATTTAATGGTGATTTTTCAGAGAAGGATGAAACAAAGAGAATATACTCTAGAAAATTAAGAGCAAAACAAATCACGTGTATTGTTTACAGTTTGTGTTTTCATTCATTTTATTACTTGCTAAGTTTGGAATTTATTGTAGTTATTAGTTTGTGATAGAAGATTCCTGTGCACTTTTATATAGCTAGATCTTTGTTATGCCACTTGAAGTCACTGGGTCCTGATGCTATCAGACGGTTTAATCTAAATGTCTTTTATATATTAAATTGTATGCAAAATATAGCAGTGAACAATAATGTTACTGCATTTTATGTTTTAGGCATGGCAAGGGGTTCATATTTATTTCTTAGAAATTTAGGGTGAAAGAAGGTCCCATGTGTCATTGTAGCAGGTATTGTTGAGGGTGGCATAAGGAAGGTAGTTATGAGAGTAAGAGTTGAATTAGATTTTTTTAGTTCCATTGTTACTTTATGTATTGATTTTTATAAATGGATATTGATGTAGTGATACCTGTCAGTGTAACAGCAGCTGCTTATATGCATGCATATCTGTTTGTGCACGTGTGAATTCTTCTTAATTTGGGCTGTGCTGAAGATGATTTCTGATGTAAGATTTGAGGGTTTAATGGCCGTGTGAAAATTCATATTGTCATCTTCTGGGTTATGATACCATATTGTAGTATGGGTAGCCTGGTAAGACAGTACCAGCATTTCCCACTTTACCCTGTAGATGGATGGAGTAATGCCTCCAAAACATTGGAATTCACCTACCAGGATGCAGTATGATATCATAGCAACAGTATATTCTAACGTGTCTCGTTACTGAATACGCCGTAGAGATCGTTAATTGGTTTATTTAACCTACAAATCTCGGCTACAATTAATTATAACAATGTTACGGGTTTCCACACTTTACAAACCCTACAACCAAATCTCTTCACACTATCTTCAAGAGTCTTCACGTATTAATAATGCGGGAGCTATACAAGTCTCTCTGAATTACACACTCCAAATATAACTGTACTACAGCACACACAAAGTCTCGAAAGCACACAATAAGTCTTCCACTCGCTGACTTCTTAGTTATCGCACACTGTCACATAAAATCTTGTAACCACGCATTCGGGCCTTCTTCTCGCGACTGCTGCTATATTTCAACTCTCTCCGGGGACGGCTACAAGTTAACTCGACTACAACTGAACTCGGCGATGGCCACATTTCAACTCACTCACGCTTACCGCTCAGCCGGCTTTTATTCCGTTCGCTGTTGCCTGTTGCCCACGTCAACAGCGTCGTTGTGTGCCACGTCACAGTCAGAATCGGTGCCACGTCGCCGTGTTTGCATATAACCTAGCAACGCTGTTACCTCACGCCGTCTTACGTCACCGCGTGTTGCGCGTTACGTCACCATGCAGAGGGGGGATGACGGAGCGCTGACTCACCCGCCGCATCACTGCTGGTGGGGGGGTTTCTCCGTTGCGCAACATGTCACAATATATTATTTCTAGTGGTAGTTCTGAGGTGCAGACAGACAGAAAAAATGGCACATTAGCAAGCTTACTATCATTTGGAGTAGTAGGTACTCCAGCAAATGAACAACTGAGGAACTATTAGCTTCTCAGGAAGGACTCAGCTTCATGGAATTAGTTACTCACTTGCCTGGGCAGACAGAGGAAAACTATGAAAAACCAGTCTCTAAGCTGAGATTCAGTCATTTGATATGCCAAATATGAAAGAGGTTGCCCCTGGGCCAGTTGGTGTAGTAACGCTTTAGACTTGCAAGCAGGAATTGCTTATTTCAATTTCAGCTAGCACACTGGCTGTCCTAACTGAGAATTTTGTGATTTTTTTTGGTCCCTCCAGTCTAACAGCAGGGTAGTACCTTGATTACGCCATAACCACCTTTCTAAATCCTTTCTAATTCATCAATCATGCCACCTTTAAATGCTGTATAGTCTAGATAGTGACAGCATCATAAGATAAACCACAAAAAGTAAGGGTTTGCTAACAACTACAGTATGTTTAGTGGTGTCTAGAGTATTAGAAACACCGTCCATTTGTGTAACTAATGTGCACCTAAAAATAGAGTTAATTAAAAGAGATCAGATTTTCTAACCACATCTCTCCTAATTAGCCTGACACTCAACTATTCAGCAGCTTCAATGAGTAGACTCACAGAACTGCAATGAAATCCTATATTTGTAATTCAACACAAGAAATAAAAATAAATTGTTCATTTGTGAGTGACTTTATGATGTATAACCGCAAATGAGCTTGACGTGATATGGAGAGCTTTGTAATAAAAATTATGAAGGGACCAGAAGATTTGAACTCAGTGGAATATTTTATAACTGTAAAATGTAGTATAAACATAATTTCATGGTGTGAGGCTGTCTGAATCATGGAAAATAAATGATGTATTTTGGAAAATGCATAATTTAGAAACATTAAAATAAGATATAATAGTATATTTATAAGACACTCCTATGTCCTTCATATCTAATCAGTATGAGCTGTTTAAAAACAGTGGTCACTGTAGAGTGAAATATTCATGTAAGTTCCTTTTGTGTTTTCTTCTTCATATTGTGACATGGATGGCGTAGTGGGAGGTGGGCGTTGCATAAACTCTGTGATCTCACAAGTGACGTCACATACCCCCACTCTGGCCATCAGTGTGCAACGCTCGGTAGACACCCCCTTCTCCATGGTGACGTGGCAGAGGAGCGGCGGCGCAAGGCAACCATTGCCGCGGTGATGTAACACGGGATGCCGCGGTTGCTATGCAGCAGTAAACGACTCCCAACAGCGTTGCTAGGCTATCGGCAAACACAGCGTCAGACAACAGCGATACCTGTTACGTAACTGTTTTCTGTTTTGTCCGTGCCGAGGCTAAATAAGGAGCAGCGAACATTACTCAGGGGTGAGTTTTGTGATTAGGAGTGACACAGTGCGGATTGTGAACACAGAAAGAAGAATACCGGAACGTGTGATAATCAGTGATAGTTTGTGATAGCTGTATAGCTCCCCCATCATACCGTGAATACGTGTAGACTACTGAGGATAGAGTGGACAGATTATTGTGTAAACCCATAAGTGTTATAATTAATTGTAGCCAAGACTTGTAGGATGTTAATTAAACCAATTAACAATCCAAACTGCGTCTTCAGTGGCAAAACACGTTACAATATATGTATATTGTTCAGTAGATCATAAGTGCAATGAGGAAGGTGCAAATAATAATATATGGCACTATCAGAATGTATATTGGCAGTTGTTAATTCTCATTTAAAACTTCTTGTTCAGAGTGAGATATAAAATAACATAAGACTTTACTAATAAAGTTGGCTCAAATAGTAGCCCATCGCAGCGGTCTGTGTTCGATCCCGGGTCTGGTCAAGTGGGATTTGTGGTGGACAAAGTGGCGCTGGGGCAGGTTTTCTCCAAGTACTTCGGTTTCCCCTTGCCAATCTTCATTCCACCAATTGCTCCACAATCACCCTCACCTATCATCTGTGGCTGGAACAATAGGCCAGAAGTGGCTGCAGTACAGGGGACTTAGTCCCACCACACTAGCAATAAACAAAAATAGCTCAAATAGTAACACTTCTGACTTGTATGCAGGAGGTGCCCAGCTCAATTCTTGGCCAGGATGCCAGCTATTGTGACTGAGATTTTTGGTGGTTTTCTTCATTTCCTCCAGGAAGATGCTGGTATAGTATGTGGAACTGGGCCATGACCACTTTCTTCACATCCTTTTCTGTTCATTGTTCACTGGTCATCCTCCCCCTTGATGATATAAGCCTGTAGTCTAAGCTAATATCAATGTTAATAAATAAACCACAAATAAATAAAAATCTCACTTTGAATTGTTGTTCATTTTTTGTAGGAACATAGGGGCTGTAGCTGCTCAGTCACTGTGTGTGATGGCTCCAATGTTCCGACTGCTGCGATCTCTTCAGTTTCGAATTTCAAATAATCTGGATTCTGTAGATGGTCTCCTCAGTTGTTCAGTAGCAATGCCCAAGGATATGACTGATTTAATTGATGATTTTCCTAAACTGAATCATGATGAACAGATTTTTATATTAGATAGTCTGTTTTATTGCATAAACTGGTTCCGAGAATTGGTTAATGCTTTTTCACTTCTGCGTGACGAAGAGATGCAGACGAAGGTAATTTAAAAATGAACAAGTATCTGAAGAAATTGAGGGAAATGAAATACAGTACAGATGAAATTCAATTTAGCAATCTCACCTTTATAGTGCCAACTGGTTGAATTGATAGGAGAGAAATTTACAAAGTTTGGTCTCTATTTAACATATTAGTCATTTTGTACTTCTGCTTGGGGCTGTCCTCCAGTGGCAGAAACCTTGTTATTTGTGTTAGGGAATTCCATTCTGAGGTTTTACTTCACACAGACTTAGCTGGTAGCCAGAGCCATTTTTGGTTCTCTAATTTTCTTGGACAGACTTCAAAGTATCTACAGAATTCTGCATGTCATAGACAGCACCTCCATGGATGCCTCTGAGGGTTCACAGAAATTATTCATAGTCCAGTTATCACTCAGATTAAAAAAAAAAATCCAGATTCTGTACCTACCCCAACGGACATTTGAACAGATGTGTCACTCATCCTGTGGAAGGGCCACATAGCATTCAAATAATACCTCCCACTGAAATTGTCATAGTTTGGAATTGAAGCATTTAAACCATGGACTAAACTTCAGGTTACCTGCAGTCCTTCATAGCATATATTGGAAAGTAGACAATTTTGGAATTATCTCCTATTTTGAAAGCAAAACCAAAGTAACAACAGTAGTTCTGAAACTCTGAATTTCTGCTCCGCAAAAGCCTTACCTTTTGGATGAAGATTTATGATAGGGTGTATAGACCCATGCTAAGCAGTGGCTGTTGCAACATACATGCACACAACAGTAGAACAGTGGGGTTATGCAACCCGTTTGTAAGCAACAGATCAGGAAAGACACCTCTACAACAATAGAGTTATTGTTGGAAATGGTGTTTTCTATTCAGTCTGAAAAGTGGTTATGAAGAAGATAATTAGGGAAGCACTTCAGTTGGGTGTTGGCGGTTCAGTTGAGCTCTGCAAGGGAGGCTGAGAAGAGAAGGCAGTCCAGTTCAGTTGAGAGTTGAAAGTTCAGCTGTGAAAAAAAGAGCTAGTTGCAAGAGTGCAGCTGAGAAAAGAAGACTTTATATATGCTGTAGTTACAGTGAGACTGTTGTAATAACTGTGTTAAACTCTGTTGTCAGGATACAACTAGTGAAGACTGAGAAGACTTAGCAAGTTCTAGTGATTTGTAAGTGTGGAAATCAGTAATGGTGTTGTAATTACTTGTAGTTCCGAGTGGTGCGCACAAGTGGTCAGTAAACCCATTTGCCAATCCAAACCTTGTTTATAGTCACCCCTAAATTCTGACAGTATTTCTCCAGGTCTGGCAGAGTTTCTGTGGTCATGTAACACTGAATGTGTATGAACCATGAAAATAAAAGAGGAATAATTTGCCAAAAAATTAAGAGAAAAAAGCTTCAGAAAGGTGAAGTTATAATGCACATTATGGTCCTGTATGTGGCTCCAAGTGCCATGACAACAAGAATGTGACTGTGTTCCCAGCTTACCATAGTGTGGATGTTCAGACCATAACTGGTAGATTTGGAGCGACTGTCTGTAATTACAAATTGTAAATTACTCCGTCCAATGTGACCTGTAAGTCTTTTACTACATAAAAACTTAACACCCTTACATGTTTCGGTCTCTGTGGACCATCCTCAGAGGGCAAACATCACTACAAATGGGAAACCACTATCACATAATTTGTTTACACGCAAAGTACGTACACATATATGTTACAACACACAGTACACAGAATAGAACATTTCACAAACACAGCAGTTTCCTGGGAATGTAAGTTTTAAAAAATTGTATAAAATTCCTTGATGCTAATCGAAAGTTTTTTAGATTGTCAATAATTAAAATTCGTAAACCATGCAGGCTCGTGTTCGTCCTCCCATCGTCTCTCTTATATGGGGCAGATATTGTGCCATTCACTGTGAAAACAGCACAGCAGCCACGAGCAAACCCTGGATGATATAAAGAACCTCCACATCAAGATAGCCAGGTGGCACAATATCTGCCCCATATNCTTACAGGTCACATTGGACGGAGTAATTTATAATTTGTAATTGTTATTGTGACGGACCAGAATGAAACAAATCAAACTTGTCTGTAATTCAATGTAACCCTTAACCAAAACATGGGTGGGGTTGATACGAAAGCAGCAGGTGAAATGAATTGAGTGAAGAGAATGAGAATGAACGAAGCATTTGATAAGAATACTTGGTTTCATAGTCCTCATTTTTCTCACAATATGTAGAGAAAATGTAGGTCAGAAAGCTAACTGTTTAAACTTCAGGATTTGATTGAGGGACTGCTGGCGAAGTATGCCATGTGGTGTAAAATACCAGGTTGCCATGGTAATGATACTACTGTAAAGAGACTTATAAAACAGCATTTTGCTAGCATAATAGTGCCCACAGAAAAGAAATCTAAGCCAAAAAGATTGTGTGGAGCCTGCATCTGCATGACATAGAAGAGAATGTTTAGAGTTGTCAGAACTGTTGTGTTGCTGCCCATGTTTTGAGGCTTACTACTCAGAGTTCCTGAGGTAATATAAAATTATCTTTATAATTTAGAGTCTTTTGTCAACTCACATTCCTAATTTTATTCAGTTGAACAAGAAGCATGGAGATTATTTCAGTTCAAAATGCTTGTCTTTTTTACTCATGTTTAAGTAGAATTAAAGATCTCTACATTGAGAGGTTAAAATTGACATGTGGGATAGTTGTCATATATGTTAAGTTGCAGCTTAGCCCTCAACATCTGTTAACAGGATTTTTAAACTTTTGGTAATACTGGGCTGGTGGCTAAATTTGAACTAGAGGGTAATATTCTTTTGTCTGGGAATAGGGAATTTTAAACCCCTGGTATTATAGGGCAGGCAGTCATATTTTAACACGCGATTAATGGTATTTTTTGGGGAAGAAGGCAGCACTAAGCTAACTGGGCCAGGTGATCCAGATCCAGTAATCCAACATGCAGCAAGTAAATTCTTTTGGATTTGTATGGTATGCTGCTATGTCAACGGACAAAACTCCATTTGAAGGGGAAAGTGAGAAACTTTCATACGTTGTATGAAACTTTGTGTGTGTGTGTGTGTGTGTGTGGGTGTTTAACCCGGTATAAACTTAATTAAAAATAAACCTGTCAGACTGTAAAATTCTCTAGCAATTGGTAAAAGATTCAATAAAAACAAATATTTTGCTTTAAAAAATCTTAATAAAACAGGCTAAATTTTGGCCAGTAAAAATCTCAAACCAGTAATAAAAATAAAACAGCCCAAATTTGAAATCAAGTGAAATCAGTTAAACTTCAAGTGGTTGTGTGTTCTGTTATGTCATATTAAGTGGGTTTATATTTTCCAAGGATGACAATGATTTAGTCTTGAAATAATCATGTTATTTTGGTCCTCACAAATAGCTTATTTTAATATCAAAAGGTACTAGTTGTGGGTTGAAAATTGTGCTTAAAAATTTATCTTCAATAGATTGGTTTGTGTTGCAGGTACTTCAGCGCATTGAAAATATTATATCACTTCAGCAGCTGCTAGCTAAGGGCCTGGGTTATGCAAAATCCTTGGACTACAGACCACCACGTTGCCATTTTTATGTGGATGTGAAGCCACTGTTACAGGAAAAACTTAAGAAACCTGCAAATGAGAAAAGGTATGTTATAATTTTTGAACTTTGTTTGGGAGATACAGAATCCATTATTTTGCATTCTTAAGTTCGTTAACACTTCAGTCCCATTTCAGATCAGAATACAGATTTGGTAGCCTTTCCTTTCTCTTTCCTCTATTTGCTAAACTTCAGACTAAAGCAGACTATCATACACATTTCTCCCTGATTATATTCCAAATTAAATGCCTGGGGGCAAGAAACTCAGTTTGTGGTTTTAAACTAACTCACTGATTCCGTGGAGCTGAGCCCTTCTTGAGAAGCTGTCAGTTGTGCAGCTACTCAAGAAATTCCCAACATTTTATGGAACTTGAAGGTTCATTACCATGTCCACAATAGCCTTCCACTGGTCCCTATCCTGGGCCAGATCAGTCCAGTTCATACCATCCCATCCTATCTCTAAGATCCATTTCAATATTGTCATGTATATTATTGAGTACAGATGAGGATTGGATTGGTAATTGGATTTATTGACCACTTACAGGTCATAACTACAAATAAGTACAGCAATACCTTGCATAGTCCAGGTAATCAGTTCTGCCAATATCCCAGCCTGTTAAAATCAGACTAATCGAGGAACTAAATACATGCAGGAATAATAATTGGTTCCAAAAAAAATCTCCATTTTTCAATAAATAAAACGCGATTAATAAATTCAGATGTCTTTATTATAAATAATTTTAAAAAATTCATGTTTTTCACAGTTTATTTTTTATTCTCTAAAAATTGCAATATTTATGTCTGCACATTTTTCTTCTTTGGCCTTTTCTCTTCATACATTTCTTTGTAGCAACGAATTACATTGTTTATCATTCAGCAAATTGTAAGGCTATGTTAAATATTGGAATCAACTTCCATAATGTGCTCTGACAAGGTTTCAACAATTCCAATAATTTTTTATAGTTGTTCAGCTGTTAATTCTCATGCAGGCACTTCAACACAGTCGTCGTTGTCTAAGTTGTCCTCCTGTTCTTCATAAGCCCGTTGTTCATCTATGTTAATAAGTGTTTCATTATCTAGTTCATTAGTGTTCGATTTGATGCACTCAATTACGTTGACGGAATGTAACTCATTGAAACCAAGTTGCTGTCCAATTTCCACTATGTTATTAGTGACTTCAGCAGAATTAGTTTCAAAACCAATGAAATTATTTCCACAGTGTGGTATATGTTTCCATACTGCCCTCATATTGCTTGCTGTTAATTCATGCCATGCTTAGCCTATATTTTCGATAATGTTTCTAATGTAGCTCTTCCAAAATTCAGTTAAACTAGTGCTCTCCCTACCTCCTCCAGCAATGGCTGTCAGAGCTCAAGAACAAACGACCCAAGCATAGGTACATTCATGTACAACAGGGAACCGCAGAAAAAATTGAAATATGTGGCGTATCGCATAACTTTAAACCCACATAAAAATAAACTGCACAAAAAGAGACTTGACTGAATAAAAGGAAAAAACCGATCATTTATGTATTAAGAATAATTTCTGTGTATTAATTTTTTATAATTTATTTTTATTTTGCTCAATTAAAATTTAGTTTGTTTTGAAATTTTAAAACCGGACTATAGTGAATCCGGACTGATCGAATCCGGACTATGCGAGGTATTGCTGTATAACACTGTTACTGATTTTCACACTACAAGTCACTCCACTTTGATCTTCTCAGCCTATATCCACAAGTTTCCTGCCAATAGATCTATAATGCTGGAACTATAAAAGTCTCGCTAAATCACGCACTCCCAATGTTACTGTACTATGGCGCATATAAAGTCCTCAAATCACACGTTAATTCTTCACAGGCTGACTTGTACTCTTCTGTACTCCTCCAGCTTACTGCAGTACTCCTGCCACTTGCTGCTTCAGCTTAGGAATTCTGCTCACTTACATAGATGTGGCACTGACACGCATCACAGAAAATGCATGTCATGTGACCACTACCCAGCCAGTCCATTGGTGCACTGGCTGCTGCCTAGGAACAGTTTCAGTGCAGCCCCACAGGAAAAACCTGTCACAAGATCGCTACCCACTGTTGCTGTGTGATGTCACCACATTGCATAGCAATGGTCCAATACATTGACACAAAAAAAGTGCTACTCTTCTATTGTTGGCTGCGTGTGTGTTGCTTCATTACCTAGCAATGGATTTACATGTCAAGTTGCTCCCTCCTTAAGGCTGTTTGTCCTGAATAGCCTATTGGTATGTCACCGTTCCTTTCTTTCCAAGGTCTCTGCTTCTGATGTCTCACCTTCCTTTCCATTGCTTGGTTTTTCCTTCAGTGACTACTCTCTAACCCCTCCCACTGCTCTCTCCTTAAGGTAGCTCCTTCCAAGCAGCTCCCTTATAGGGTTCTAGTTAATCCATGTGCATCACCATAATCCAGCAGTTTTTTCTTTTCCAACGATGGGGCAAAACTATTCCAAGTGGCCTGTGTTCCCAACTTTTCAGCTGTCTTACACTAAATGAGCTAGTAGGATCTTCCATTTTGGAGGGGCCAGCCCCTCCATGCTGTTCAGTTCCTGATTTGCCACAACCTGATGGATATCCTGGCTGCTCACTTCACAAACTCCAGTCTGAAAGCCTTCTTGTCAAACCCATCCTCCTCCTAAAACCCTGAAGTGTCTTTCTGGATATTCTGTATAAATTTCTGTCATTGTTCAATGTTTTGCCATGTACATGGGTTACAGATTATTACAACGTGGTTCAAATATGACCAGGACTGATTTATGTGTAAACAAGCTGTACTACGCAGCAGCTGTGCGACCTTGAGAGAGTGAAGCCACAACCTGCACCCTCCCTCCTGTTCAAGTTAGAACTTGTTCAGTCCTGTTTGGGAGTTGCTAGAGTAATGAGTGATCAGAAGGTACCACGGAGCGTGGAACAATACATTGTGATCAAATTCCTCGTTGGAGAAAACATCCCGTATGCTGAAATTCACCACAGACTCCAACAACAGTATGGGGAAGAGTGTCTCTCACGGACCCGTGTGTTTGAATGGTGTAACTGCTTCAGAGAGGGCAGAGAGCGCGTGGAGAATGAACCGCATGATCGTCGGCCACGAACATCCAAGCCAAAATTGATCATGCAGATGCACTTATTCGTGAGAATAGGTGCATCACTATCAAGGAACTTGGAGCAATGCTGTCCATCAGTGTTGGTAGTGTAGAAGACATCATGAAATACCACCTGCACTATTGCAAGGTGAATGCACGGTGGGTACCATGCACTTTGACAGATACGAACAAAATGATGCGCATGCAAGGTGCCAGTTGTCTCCTACAGCAGTTTGAAGATGAAGGTGATGCATTTTTGAAGTCTATAGTGACCACCGATGAACTGTGGGTGCACTACTTCATTCTTGAGTCCCAACAGTCATTACGTGAGTGGCCGCATACCAGTTCTCCCAAACCCAAGAGAGCGTGGAGGAGCTGTTCGGCAGGAAAAGTGATGGCAACGTTCTTCTGGGACTGGCAGGGGGTTATCCATGTAGACTTTCTGACAGATGCCAGAACAGTCAATGCAGCTTATTACTCAGACCTCTTGGCAACAGACGTGAAAGAAAAGTTCCGATCCAAGCAGAAGACAGGTGGAAAGCGGGTAGTCTTCCTTCAAGACAATGCATGCCCCCATACCCCCAAAACAATGGAAACCCTCCAGAAATTAAATGGAACCTTCTGACACATCTGCTGTACAGTCCCGATTTGGCCCCAGGTGATTTCTACCTGTTTGGAAGGCTCAAATCAGACTTGCAAGGCATGCGGTTTGTGAACAATGCTGTCATCGAGAATGTTCGGGAGTGGATGCGCCACCAACCACAAGCCTTTTTTTGAAAAGGTCATCAGGATGCTTCTATAACATTGGAAAAAAATGTATTGACTTCGGAGGAGAGTACGTTGAAGACTGACATGTGCAAGTAAGTGTTTGGCAATTATGGTTTAAAAAAGAACAGTCCCGGTCATATTTGAACCACCTTGTATTAAAAACTGTGTAATGTTTGGTTCATAATCTGTTCCATTTGATGCTTATAATACTTACTACTCCATATTGGTAACATTATTGAATAATATTTAACTGAAGGCTAGAAAGAGTTAACATAATTATTCACATTGAGTGCATATTTGTTGAGCTTGTGATACTACCTTTTAGTGACTCAATATTTGCATTGTTGCTTTGTTTCATAGAGCTGGTAAGGGTAAAGGAAAAGGCAAACAAAAGGGTAAGACTAAGGATGCAGGAAATACATCAATAACAGATGTAAATGCAGTTGTGCCAGGTAACCCATCATCCAATGTAACAGGGGAAATGGATTTGTCTGTGTACAAAGATTTCTTTCGAGAGTTGGACATCGAAGTGTTTGTTGCCTTGAGCAGCTGTCTTGTATTGGATGAGAGAGCTGTGAAGGTAAGGTATTAATATTAATCTATAATATACAGTCAACTCTCGATTATCCGGGCTAATGGTGGGGATGGAAGTCACGGTTAATCGAAAACCCGGTTAAGCCAAATTTTATTATACGGGCTGGACGACTGTGAAGGGTCGGAGTTCGAGTCCCGGTAGGGTCAAGAATTTTAACTTCTCCAAATCGTCCAGACCGGCTCTGGGGTCCATCCAACCTCCTATCCAATGGGTACCGGGGGCTCTTTCCCCGGGGGTAAAGCGGCCGGGGCGTGAAGCTGACCACTCACCTCCAACTAGTGCCGAGGTCAAGAAAATTTGGATCTATACATCCACTCCCCCACACGCCTTAATGGCGTAGGGCTTAATTCGTTGAGCAGAGGAACAACTTTACCTTTTACCTTTTAATACCTTCATAATACTATAGACCTACCTGTATTTAAATTTATTCATCCTCATTTCTATGTCATCTCATGGCCTATTTAATACTTTCTTTACATTACACTCAGTATGAATTAGTTATTTCAATCACTGTTCAACAACATCCAGCACTTTTTACGGTCACACTTAACACTTAAAATAATTTAATACTGTCTTTTGCTTTTTCGCGGCATTTTCCTTTTTACGGATATCCGTACGAAGCCTACGTAATATTAGCTTGTCACTTAATAAACTGTCCTCTTCACTCTCAAGATAGTCTAGTAAGGATTCCAAATGATTAAGCGCAGCACCATGTGATACTTTCTTACTGGCAACACTGTCCACCTCTTCCTCATTCTCACTTTCTTCCCGCTCTTCTGGCTGCACCCCCATTGAAGTTACGATTTCGTCACTGCTTAACATTTCGAAGCCCGGTTCACACGAGTCACAGTTAAACCACTCTCTTATATTTTCCTCGTTGACTTCTTCACCACCATGAACTTGATTAGCCACTTTGGTCAATTTTATGGCTATCTCATTTTCACTGAATCCAGTGAATCCATGGATTTCGTCATCTTCATTAGTGATGAAAGGCATCAGTTTCTTCCATGAATTTTTCAATACAGATGGCTTTACTGTATCCCACGCTGTTGAAATCTCGTATATGGCATCTAATACTGAAAAGGACTTCCAGAAACACGTCAGATCATTGCCTTCATCGATGTACTTTTGTAGCAAATTTGATCTGTAGATTCTCTTCATACTTGAGATAACTCCTTGATCCATTGGTTGGATAAGTGCGGTAACATTAGCGGGAAAATATTTCACAAAAATATTTCCATCATCTGACCTCAGGAGACTTTCGTTAGGATGTGAGGGCGCATTGTCAATGAGGAGCACAGCTTTCTCAGGTAGGCCTTGGGATTTTAGATGGTCACGAACTTGAGGCACGAATTTAAAATCAAACCATTCTTTAAATATCGCTCTATTCATCCAAGCTACTTTCTGGTTAAAATAATGGATAGGCAGACTTGAAGCTACTGTTCCTTTAAAAGAGCGTGGTCTTTTCGCTTTGCCGATAACTACTGGTATTAGTTTGTGTGTTCCTGATGCATTAGAACAGCACAAGACTGTCAATCTCTCCTTACTGGATTTGTGACCTGGAGCCTGTCTTTCATTTTGAAATGCCAATGTTCTGGTTGGCAAGCATTTCCAATAAAGACCCGTTTCATCGGCATTATAGATTTGTTCTGGCAGCAGATTTTCACTTTTCACAAAACTATCAAAATTGGTGCAAAATTGATCTGATGCTGACAAGTCCCCTGACAATTTCTCACCTTGAATACTGATTTCTCGTATTCCATGACGCTGCTTGAAACGTGTTAGCCAACCGGAAGAAGCGTCAAAACTCCCTTCTAGTTCAAGTGCTTCGAAAAAATATTTAGCTTGTTTAGCACAAACTGGTCCTGTTATTGTTGTTCCCTGTGCCCTTAGTTGATTAAACCAGGTCAGCATCGCTTTGTCGAGATCATCGTATGTTGATTTCTTCATGGTTTTTCTCTTCTTCATTCCGCTTGAATTAGAAGACGAAGCAAAGGAAATTAACTCATTCTTTTGTTTTTTCAAATCACGAACAGTTTGTTCTCCAATACCGTATTGCATTGCTAATTGTTTAACTACAGCTCCTTTTTCCAGCTGATTGATAATTTCAAGTTTCTGTTGAATACTTAACACAACACGCTTCCTTTTAAACCCCGACATTTTGCTAACGCACTTGAAGATCTATATTAAGAAACTGATACTTACTTTCACAATGCACTCTCACACTGAGATGGTACCGTTAAATAACCTGGGGCGGTGTATTTGTCCTTGAAACTTTCCAAAAATTCTTGCATTCTTTCACCCCCACCCTAGAACATTGTGTTCGCATAACGGGACGAAATAATGCAGAGCTCGGTTCACACTAGTGCGAAAATAGTGTTAAACTCACCATGTGAAACAAAAGTGAATGAATATTAAACAACATATAAACTTAAAAAAAAAAGCCCCGGTTAAGCCGCAAACCGGTTAATCCGCCCCCGGATAATCGAGAGTTGACTGTACCTGTGGGTCATTACAGGAATATAAGCAGTAAGAGGATTAAGTACAAATGCTTGCCCCAAGAATGTTGATTTCAGAATGTCACAAACAGATTTTGGTGCCTAGAAAGTTGGCAGTCTGATGTGAAAACCAATTATGGGCACTGCTATGGCTGACACAGTGGCAGAATATTTATTGCCCTTGATACATTAAGTTCTCTTATCTAGAGTAGGGGTTTTAAGTCTCATTACTGTGGACTTGTAGCTAGATTTCTGTTTGGCAGGAATAGAAAGGTAAAATGTGAAAACTATCCCTGTAACAGGCTGTGGGGGCCCATAGGGCTGTGAGAGGTCAAGGCTACCACATTTTATAGACAGTCAGCTCATAGATGGCAGTGAGGTTGTCAGCCTTGTGTGCCAGCTGCCCTTTACTTCCAGGAAGATTCCTGGTACTTATTTCTGTTAGAAGGTGAGGAAATCCCAGGGCCATAGTGCAGCTGGAGGGATTAGATCAATTGAAAAATCCAATGGCCTTATTGGGAGTTGAACCCACGACCTTCCAGCTTGTAGCATAGTGCCTCAACCAATTAACCTACTGTGTTTGGCAGTAATGGGATGTTGTGATGGTGGGTAGGGTTTGAGGCATCTTACACCAGTGATTATGAAGAGTTCTGTCTTCTGGGATGCAGTGCCATGTGATATGTTGAAAATAAACTTTTTACCTGCTTCATGCTGGTTTCTTGTATTATTCTTTGATCCCAAAGTTAGAGATGGCACATTCCTTCAAAATGCCAGTTAACGTTCATCATACTACATGGCATTATATCCCATGTGATGCTAGTTCTACTGGGGCCTTCAAAACCTGTGCATGCATCAACACGTGTGAGATGTATGTATGATATGGTTAGTGTAAATATGAGTATATATACTTATGTTGTGTGTTGCAGAAATCATCATGATATAGCCTAATCACAGCTGTGGATAGGTTATTCTTATATAGTTTGTAGTGATACAGAACTTGTGTTTGAGTTCTGCTTTAGTGATTAAAGTGCCCCCCCCCTTTCAGAAAAAAAAGAAGGAAAAAAACGAGTGAAGCATTGTGTGACGAATGTGACAGGACAGAAGAGTCTGAGAGTTTTTTGGCTAACAGACATTGGTGGTTTGACAAATTTAAGCGGCATATTTTATCATTTTGTAAAAACTTATATTTAAATGAAACTCCTGAATGCATCCTCTTTGTGTATCAAGGTATTACTGTGGTAAAATAATATTGTTTATAATTTTAATTTTGCCATGAGATTGATCTTTGACTTAGACGAACTTGTGACTGTAAACACTTCTCTGAAATGGATTGCCCCATATTTAACTATAAATTTGGGTCCCCTGAACTCTGTTTAGGACTTAAGTGGATTTGTATGTCTAGCAGGAGAGTCAGTTCAAATTGATGATAAGTTTTACTGTGGACCTCTCATACTGTGTCTATGAGACATTCATATCTTCAGGGGCAAAGTATTTTTGCAGACTAGCAAGAAGATTGTAGGTCTGTCCAGCAATCATAGACTGAAGGTCTTTGTTTTAATTCTGCAGGAAGATAAACTGGTACTATATCCGACAGGGTTGCTCTTTTTACTAGAAGATTATGTTACCAAGTTGGATCATTGTCTTCCTTCTACATTGAAGCTAATTAGCTCCTTGGCAACCACTCAGCAGGCAGCATCTGTTGGGTATGCTAGCCTGGATCGTATTCCTACACCACTCATTGCTCGCCGTGCTATGAAGCTTCTGACATTCATTTTAATGAAGCTGGAAGCCACTGCTGAATATTGCCAGGTAAACACAATTTATTGATATTAAGAGTTTACATGGGTGACTGGAAATGAGACCAGTACTGGTTGTCATGTTTCTTCTCTAGACCCCCTTAAGCATTTCTCAAGTATTTGTATCTACTCTTTTTCCACTCCCTTTTATATAGTTTTCCATTCTAGGTCCCTGTTCTTTATCTCTTTAGTGGTCCTTTAACATAATTTCTGAAGTTCTCAGAGCAAATCTATTGTTAGTACCTTCATATCATGTGTGCATGTTACTGGATCCTCAAGTTTACATGCTCTTCATGTATTTTTGTATGTTCAGATCCTTGTATAGAACTTTTATCCACCTAATTTTATTTGTTACATTTTTAGGACCTTAGTGAAGGGCCTCCTTACAGCCTCAAAAATAGTTCTAATTTTTTGAACCTTGTGTCTGCTCTCTGTATGTGCATGCATGCTTCATTCCTGGCACACTTCATAATTTTTCTACATTGATAACTCTAGCTTTATACAGGTTCAAGTAGCTTTCAGTGCCGATGCACCTGTAAAGATCAGAAAGTATGACAGATAAAATAAGTGCTAATCATGACATATGTCAAAATATTGAACATCTTATGTCGATACAAAGGCAAGTATGACAGGTAAAAGTCATGACATGACAAAATATTGAACATCTTGTGATCCAGTTTTCAGATCCCCTGCATTATGCTTTATCAGCTGTAGGCCCATACTAGACAGAAGTTTTGAAGTTTCACGAGTCTGTTAGCTGAAAATTTGTTTTAAGTTATCTTTGTCTCCATGGATATTCTTTGATGTTTTTCAGTGCCACACACACTACTTTTCATGCTGCCAAAAATTTATCACTTTTGTTCGCTGCACGTGTTTTCAGATTGTTTATTGGTGTGTCTGAACATGTTCAGATGTTACAATTATAAGTGAAAAACTGAATATTATTTCAAAATATAGGTATTGTCTCTTTTCTAGTTCACTTTAAAAATAGTAGTAGCCTTATTTTAAACTTGCACAGCATGTAGTAGTGATGATTATGAAGGTGGTTTACTTACCAGAAACTGCTAGATTCAAATGATGGAATTTATGATGGCCCAGAAATGTTTAAAGACGGCTCAGCAGAAGTGAAATTATGCTACAGCATGCTGCTTCATTCAGTAGCTAGTACTTTGGGCTGGATTGGATTCCATAGCAGTGCATATAATGCCTTACTGAGAGGTAAGCAAGTATGGCATTTCTGTCTTGTTATGTATAAGTTTCATTCCCTTTAAGATTTTTTTTTCAGTTTGGTATTTATTCACCCACTACTGTAGAGAGAGATCTGGAAGAAAAAATAAAAATAAATTTTGGAAGCAACATGTGGTCCCTGTTTTCCTTGTATTGCTTAGGCTTATATATTAAGGCTAACAGGAACTGAAAAATAAAAATTATTCATTTCCAGGATGTTTTGTCCACATTTTTTTGGTCCATTGTCCATTTATCCTGCATATTTTTGTCTACAGACTTTTTGTCCACACCCAAGGTCCGTATTATTTTATGCTGTTTTTTATTTGCAGACATTTTATACACATTTCTTACCTCTGCAAATATGTATCCATTTTTTAACTCAGTTTGTTTTTCATTTAAACGTTTATGTCCATTGTGCTTATGTCACACAGATTTTAGTTCTATTCTTGATATCGTTAAGTGATCTGTAACAGTGCTACTAAGGAAAGAATGAACAGTTGTTGATTACTGCAATATTTTCTATGATGCAGTTGAATTGCATTTGTTACTACAGAAATGATGATGATTATTTAAATTATGTAGGAGGTCCTGAGGAGGTCAGAATAATGGCACATACATTAATATCCAAAATAGGTGACTTCTGTTTGTCATTAACAGTCACATGTTCATGAAAAGTTATTGAAATGGGACATATAGAACAGGACCTAGAATGTTTTAACAGCTGTATATGATACATGGTATTGTAAATAATATATATTCTTACTGGTATACACTGTGTTTGGTGGAAACAGTGATGCAACATATATGTATACATGTTGTTACTGAAAGTTGCAAACAAACTTCAGGCACGAGTTCCACATACCAAAACAAGAAAAAATGTCATATCAGCTTGTGTCAGGAAACATTTAATTTGTGGCTACAGCAGAAACAGTACATTTGTAATAATAATGAAGACGTAAGTAAAGCTATCCCTGTACCAGGCTGTGAAGGCCCATAGCGTTGTGAGACGTTGAGGGTCCCGCATTATCTAGACCTATGGTATCCAAACTATGGCCCGCGGGCCACATGCGGCCCGTGATGTGATTTTATCCAGCCTGCGAAAGAATTATGCAGAAATGCGCCACTTGAACTAATTTTCCAATGAGTGCTGGTACATGTGATTCTGAGCTTATTGACCTGACATATTATACTGCAGTTCGATGGCTTAGCTGTGGAAAGGTTCTTTCGCGCTTCTTTCAGCTCAGGAATGAAATTGATATATTTCTTACCGAGAAAAACCATCATGAACCACTTTTATCAGATACCGAGGGGCTTTGGAAATTAGCATTTTTTGCTGATATGGTGCACCATATGAACCATTTGAATTTAAAGTTGCAGGGTGAAATAACTTAGTCTGTGATTTATTTGCACTTATCAAGGCATTCAGAGCAAAGTTGATACTTCTGGAAAGCCAAGTGAAAAATTGTAACTTTGTTCATATGCTATACTGTGCAGAGTTGCATAAAAAGGATGAAGCAGAATTTCCTTCCTCGTTTGCAAATTTAGTCATTTCAGATTTGAAAGAACAATTTCGGAAGCGATTTGCTGATTTGGATTCCAGTGCTCAGGAAATTAGATTGTTTCAAAATCCGTTTGACTGTGATGCTGCAGATGTCCCAAGTCAAATTCAAATGGAAATTATTGAACTTCAGGAAAATTATCATATTAAAGACAAATACAAGGAAGGAAATTTGATCGAATTTTATAAATTTCTGAACTCTGAGCAATTTCCAAATTTAAAGAAATTTGCTTGTAAATTTATCTCCATTTTGGGATGTCATATCTGTGTGAACAAAGTTTTTCCCAGATGAAGTACATCAAGTCGAAATACAGGGCAAATTTATCCGATGAACTTTTAAAGTCGCTACTTGTGATTAGCGTTTCAAAATTTGAACCTCAATTTAATCAGATTTTAAGAATGCAAAAAGAGTTCCATCATTCACATTAATTGTTTTATTGTAATTTGTGATGAAAAGATGAGCATTTGCTGCTACTGTCTGTTGTCATTAATATACGATAATTTATTCTCACGTACTTTGTATTTAGTTTATGAAATTCTGTGCTTTCAATAAAACTCATATACCTAGAGTTATTAATTTCTCATTTTATCCGGCCTGTTGAAAGTGCTGAATTACCTAATGTGGCCCGCAGTTCAAAAGGTTTGGAGACCCCTGATCTAGACAGTCGGCTCAAAGATGTCGGTAAGGTTGTCAGCATTACACGCTGGCCATGCTTTACTCCCCAGGAAAATTATTTAATTAATTCCTGGTACTTATTTCTGTTAGAGGCTGAGTCGACCCCAGGGACATAGTGCGGCTGGAAGGATTAGGTCAATTGAAGAAAATCCAGTGGCCTCATCGGGACTTGAACCCGCAACCTTCCAGCTTGTAGCATAGCCCCTCAACCAACTAACAATCATCAACAAGGACATTTTGACCATATTTATAATAAGCGGTCAAAATGTCTTCGTTGACGATTGTTTGATAAGCCTGTAAGTTTTGCCACATTGGCTTACAGGCTATCATGTCCGAGATTTCCTCTTATGATCTACCAAAGCTACTGGAATATGTACCACTGACAAGTCAGAGCACAAATGTGAGACATGCATAATGATGCTTTGGCACATTTTAGCCATGCTGTGCGAGATGATGTTCTCAGTAACACCTATCATGACTGATGGATAGGGAGAGGAGGATCAACTGCATGGTCTCAATGCTTGCCACATTTGAATCTTCTTAACTCTTTGACTGGCACGGGCGTGTTTTTATGCCCAAACGATGCCAGCCGTTTCCTGTCGGCATGTTTTAGCGCTTTGATACACTCTTCCCTTCTTTGCTGTCTTGGCACTCATCAACCAAAGATATATTTATGATAGTTTTTGTGCATGGTTGTAAAGAACTCTTGTTGACTTTGTGGGGGTCTATATTACTGTCAGAACCCACTGAGAAGGAAAAGGTCAGAAAATATTTCACATTCATTCAGTTTCACCATGGCTTCTCGCAGCAAGTGTCAGAGTGATCCTACAGACCAGCTGGAAAGTGTTGTGAACGAGATTTGTGCTGATGATGAAAGTGGCAATGAAATAATGATTCCTGAATTAGATGAAGTTGATAGTGACAATAATACAGTGATAGACAGTAATCATGAACATTTAGCCACCACGAGTGTGGTGCCTGACACGCTCATCTCATGGACGCATGGAGACATTGTACCAACAATAGTTCCGGGATCAAAATTGATATAACACATAAAATGTACCCCTTTTCATGGATTAAAATTTTTCCGGATGACGACTTAGTAAATCACACCACAACTGAAACCAATTGCTATGCTCACCAGCACTTCAACACACGTGAATTAGCTCCTCACTCTCGAGAACACAATTACAAATATGTCACACCAGATGAAATGTGGACATACCTAGGGATTGCATTCATGACAGGGATCGACAAAACCCCGAAATTGAAGAATATTGGGCCACTAGGCCCCTATTTCACACTCCGTTGTATGGACAAGAGAGTGTCATGTGTGCAAGCTGTTAGTTCCTGAAAGTTTCATTTTTAAAAACCAATTTTTGTTGAAGTTATTTAAAAAAATAAATGCATGCGTTTTAGTGACTTAAAGCTTAAAGGGTCTGCCAGGACAGGGGTGGCATTTAAATACCCTTCGCACCAGTCAAAGAGTTAATTTCTCAGTAACACCTATCATGACCAATTAATGAGTACAGGAGGACCCACTGCATGGCCTCAATGCTCACCACATTTGAATCTTCTGAATTTCTCAATAATGCCTATCATGACTGATGGATAGGTAAAAGAGGACCCACTGCATGGTGTCTATGCTTGCCACATTTAAATACTCTGAATCATTACCTGTGGGGACACCTAAACACCCTTGTGTATGCAGCTCCTGTTGACAATAACAAGGCATTTCACCATCACATAATTGATACCTGTCAGACTATCTGCAACTTCCCCAGCATCTTTGAATGGATACAGCAGTCTATGATCAGACATGTCAAGGCATGCATTGAATCTCATGGAATACATTATGAGGGCTTATTATAAATGTACTCTATCAGCTATAAATCACAAATTAAATGTTTCCAGACTCATGTTGATATGGACATTTTATCTTGTTTTGGTATATACAACTTGTGCCCAAAGTTTGTCCACACATTGTCATTTACATCCTGTATATCTAGCAACTGAAGAATTTGGCATAAGCAATGAACATGGAACTAAAGCAGTGGTATACCATGATGGATTTTGACAGCTGCAAACGAAAATTATATTCTGAATAGTTATATGAAGAGGAAGGTAATGAAAGTGATTACTGAGTTCTCTGCAGCACTGGCCAGAATGTCAGAAAAGTATCTATCAAAAAACCTGTCTTGCCCACAGTTCAGCAGTTTTCTTTGTTCTAAGAATGCAAGTCTAGCATACACAGACACTTCCTTTTCTACATACCAGGCTGTCCCAACTTTCTGGTTATACCTTTGATTCCCAAAAATTTCAAGATTTTAAATGGAGAAGGATGCATGGGTCATGGCAATGGCAATGAAAGAAATTAATTTTTCATGCAAAATAAACAGGATCTGAAACTTGACTGAACAGACATTTGAGTGAACAAAATGAAAAGTGAACACCAGTGTCTTGCCTGCCTTAGAAATTTACAAGACTGCCCTGTACATATCTTTAGCGGCAGGAAGTTAAAAAATGTAATGATGGCATTATATTCGTACTATGTTTTGTGAAAGTCTGTTATTTGGTTCAAAAATTATAAATAGGGGCAGACATGAATGACTGGGGACATGGACACAAATGATGCCTTATAAAATAAAGTGGGCGTATTCACAAACATGAAGAGAAAGCATATTGAAACTTCTCACAGAATTATTCAATTTTGCATTAATTGAAATTGTATGACAAAAAATTGAGAGGCATCTCTTAAATCCGTATGTGTTTCTGTAGGCCTTTAGTCAAATAAATACTCTATAACGTTATTTTTAACAAAGAAAAATATTTGGACTTCTTTAAATGTAATTATTTATATTTCAGACTGCTTGCATATTATAGCCAGCAGACAAAACAGTGAAACCACCAAGACAGCACTATTAAAAGAGTTGGTGCTGTTCAGTTGTCAGTACTTTCTCAGATATGCAAGCTGCACAGTGCTTTTGACATCTGCTGGAAATCTCGTAAGAGTGATGCAGGTTCTGTCCACTTTTGCACCAAACGAAGCCGAACCAAGACAGAAAATAGGTGTGTAGAGCCTTAAATTAATAATTTTATCCATTTTCTGACATTGATGAGAATATACATTACAAGCAATAATTTGGAGTGTACAAGTAGTTGGAATGTAAAATGGTTTATTTCATGTTCAGTTCACTCTGGTGTTACCTTAGAAAATGGAGTTAAATCACTGTCTTGTTGAATGGAGTGTCATTAAAACTAATAATTCTGGCATTTCTTGTTAAGATGTATCAACCAAACTCCATTTTGATCCATGGCAAGTGGAAAATTGTTCATGTTTGTACATGATGTTTAATGTGAGGACTTACTAATAAAATGAAGAAATGTTTTTTGAAATAATTTTGAGATTGAATACTAATTAGCTGTTATTACCATGTTTTTAAAGCAGACTGATTTGTGTGGAAATGAAAAATAAAACTGTGGTATAGGAAAACGCACATATACACATTGACCGATAACTTAAATCACAACTTCAAGTCATTCTGAGTGAAAAATGTGACATTGACATGACTCCTGTTCTCAGAAGTTTCAGAACTATGGGTATTTGTAATAGAGCTTGACTGGAAGGAGTTGATTACTGTAAAAGCATTTTTATTGGGAGAAAGTTAAAGCTGTTACACTGTGCAGTATACATAGCTTGTAGTAACTGTTTAAAGTATCCATCATCAATTTGGATGCACAGCCAGGTTTGCTTCAGTGGGGAACCATGTGGAGAGCTGCAGCATCAGAGATTTACTGGAGTAGTTCATTTCTTGTGTGCACCTTGCATTCATATGACATGTTTTGCATAAGACCTCGTACATGGTTATCTGAGTGACAGAAATGTGAACAGAGCAGTAAATTCAGCTAGCCACCATGGCCAATCCTTTGATGAGGGAACTGTTCATTCATATATCATGATCCTTTTGAAATGTAGAGCTGCTATGTCATGCTGGTAATACATCTGTATTTGTGTTTACAAAGGAATGCTCTCTAGAATTGCCAACTGTTCATTTTTAAAAAATTTGCACAAGCATATTCATGTCTGCTGTACACATGTGTTACATTTCAGATACCCATAGCTCTAAAAGTATCGTAAATATAACTCATGTTGATTTAACATTTTTCATTCAGAATGACTTTAAGAATCCTGTTCAGAAGTTACATAAAGTCACAGGACACTGTATGTATTCTGCCACCTGTTGTTCCTATATGTGAGCTACTAGAAGAACCATTGAAAAACAATCATAATGTGATGATAAATTTGTAAAATTTCTGACAGTAGACCTGTACAGGTAAATTCTGATGTCAGAAGCTTTCCAGCAGAAAGTAAGAAAGAGTTAGGCTTGAAGCTGATGGTTGAATTGTAATATTTAAGGTTTTCATGGCGGTGACTATGAAGAAAGCAGTCTTCTGGAATGTGGTGCCATGTAGATATTGTGTTAACTAATGTATTTAACACAATATCTACACGGTGCAACATCCCACAAAACTGCTTTCTTGATGGTTTAATTCTTTGGAGACTTTGTGACGACATAATTTTATATGTTAGATATGTTGACCTTATAATAATGATATATTTTTCAGCTGAAGTATGTCATGGGTTTCTTTCTCGGCAATGGTACACCCTAAATGGATTGCCTGAGCATGGAGCTGTATATAACAGACAGATAGAATCACTTCTGAAAAGTTATTTTGCCAATGTAACCGACACATTGTCAGTTGTTAATACCACAGCAAAATGGGTGGAAGATGAAATACAGATGCTTCAGAACAAGGATTCCTGTCTACATACCTTCCCAACAATTAACAAGTAGGTTATAGTAATATATAGTATGTCTAGAAGTATAAAGCTACTTAAGTATACTTATACTTACGTATAAAGCCCAATAGAGCAGTATGGTTAGCAGAACAGTGCAGTGCCGTTGTAGTATGTCTCCAGCGAGTGCGCCCACTGCAGGCGTGTAGCGTCAGAGACGGGACCGAAAGCATTCCCCCCACCAAAGTTGTTACCCACTACGTTTACCCCTCCAAGTTGAACCAAGTCCGCTTTTGTGCAGTCTTGCGCTCCATGTTGTACAGAATATTGCAATGACCGACTCGTCTTTGGAAGAAGAAACGATTTGTGTAGCTATGATGCTACAAGAGGATCAGCCAAAGCGAATATGGGTGCANGTACAAGGAAGGTACAGGTACAGTTGTCCCTGTGCTCAACGAATGAAAGCACGACGCCATTAAAGGCTTATGGGGGAGTGGATGTATAGATCCACATTTTCTTGACCCTACCGGGACTCGAACTCTGACCCCTCGGTCGTCCAGCCCGTAGGCAGTCGCTATACCTACTACGCTACCGGGGCTCACGTGCATGGGAAGCCTACTGTAGACCGTGGGTTAAAACATTATATATGCAATTTGTTTTCATTCATGTATTACATACTAATTATTAGTCTACCTGATTTGTTCAGCGTTTTCTCTTCTCATGCTGTCATAATAGTAGGCATGACTGCAGCCGTAGAGGATATTGTACTCTTATACAGTGGAGATTAATCTTTCCTCGAACGCCATGTCTTGCCTCATTGGCACTCAACCCAGGAATGACAAAGCGTTTTGGTAGGTGGAAGGGGGATGCGGCGTGCCGCCATGACACTGCCGTGCAGAACGTTTGCTTCTTCGAGCAACGGAGGCGATACTATACTATACTATACTATACTGGCACGACCCTACTCTAGTGGGCGCACTTCCATTTAAATACACGGAGAGCAATGCGTCTACAGCTTTCGCTCTGCACTGCGCGGATACGACACTGTGCTAGTGGGCGAGGACCTTAAGGCAATGCTATTTAATTGCATTTACAGTGATACGCCCATCTAAGATTTCTCTGGGAGAGAGTGGATTTGAACACTAAACTGCAGAAAACATGAAATTGATGGAAATTTTCCAAGACAGGGGCTGAAACCATAGAATAAGGACAGACCTTAGTCCTTGATATCTGAAGCCCATCTAAATAATATTGTCACATGATAGAGTGACTATAGACAAGGTTTTGGATTGATGACTAGATTTATTGGACTCTTTTGATACAGCACATACACCTTATAAGTCACCGTTACATACTAGTGTCCACAGTCACGTCTTCACTGCTGTTGCTTGGTAGCAGCTTCCAGTGGCAGACATCCCCTTCCTCTCTGGGTTCTCGAACTGTCCCTGGCCTCAGCTACCAGCTTCTAGCAGGAACAACTTGCAATGATAGAGCCCCGACAATCCTCTAACTCACCAACCAACTCTTCAGTAACTCTGACTCACTTGTCCTGCTTATAACATCTCAGCATGGAGCACATAGAAAACACCACTCCTCTGTTGGAATGCAATTGTTGCATTTGTGTCTGTTGGTGGAGCCATTACCTAGCAGTGCCTATTATGTAGTCACTAATTTCATGGCCATTGCCTATCGATAGGTGTACATACCACAGTATTTATAAATTCAGTTTTTACGTTGCAGAAAATGTGTTGTATCTCCATTACAAAGACCAATTATGAAATAAACACTGATCAGTTTTACACAACTATCATTGTTTGTACAGATTCAAACACAGAATGAGATGTCAGTTTCATGCATCATCAAATGGTATGGAGGAACAGGTTTCTTTACAGTGAAGAACTTCGCTTTGCCGGAATTTGCCATCACATTTTGATGTAGTGCCTGTGAAGCGCCATTGTGTTTTAGTGTGCCATCCATGTACATCATCAGTGACATAGATACAAAATTTGTTGCCATAAAAACAGTAAGCAATGAAAATACGAAAGTGATTATTATATTGACAGAATTGATAGACAGCATGAAACTCCCACCATATGATATTGAAAGGAAATATTATGCCTAAGACACACCTGTGTATGGGAATAATACTAAGATGCCAGACTAAGGGACAGATAACTAGTGAACTAGTGAGGGACTGGTTACAAATTGTTTAGAGGAGGAGGCCAAGAGGATCTTGGATAAAATGAGGAATACTTTTGCTGGATGCATTTAAGAGTCATTTAACACTGGCTGTTAGGTTTGTGTATCATGCACTGAGTACTGACCTTATGGTAATACCTGCAGGGATGACCGTTTAACTACATTTTTTTTTTCCTGGTGAATAAGGTTTTTAATGATTATTTGGGACAGATGTATTCTGAATGATTCTTGGCAGGCAACCATGTTCTGACATCACCATGGGGCCGACAAAGAAACTTGCTGTAGAATTTCTGTGCCATTGGATTAAGACATCAAAGTAGTGTATGTGTACAGAAGTGACAGAAGAATTTAAAGCACTCTATATCTGATGGGGTTTGAGAGTGAGGTTGAACAAAAGGTTATGAATGTTGATAGTGAATTGTGAAGACATTGAAGCTGAGACAGGTGATGGGATTGGTCAACAGAGCAAGACTGGTGAAGCTGAATAAAGACTAGCGACTTCAGGAAGGAAACTGACATGTATAACATGTTTCCTAATGTTTATTCTCCCTCACATATTTTTAGTAAGGATATGAAACAACTGTTCATGAAGTTAATTTTTCTATGCAGACATGTTTCCACATGCTGGGTCATCTTACATTCAGAATCATCTTCCATTCAAATAAATATGGCAGTATATTTCAAGGCAGTGTGAAAAGGTAACTAATGTTATAAATTATTACAGTAACAAATACAGATCCATTAGCGAAAATATTTGTTTCAGTTCTCAGAGTGCTTGCAGATTCTCTTCTCAAACTGAAATAGTAATTCTCACATATGCCTAATATTTTCTGAAGTTTTCTGACATTTCTCCTGATCCACATGTGGTTTTGGAATGACCCATTTCAGGAGTACTTAAATAATGGCCTCCAGACCAGATCAGGATACAATAAAAGAATTGTGGCCTGTATAATTTTTTTAATACTGGAGCACTACCACAACATACATTGTACTTTTTTTGTGCATTACATAATTTTAAACAGTTACGTGCCGATTCTACCTGTACATGCACAAGTGACATTGCAGATATGGAAGGTAGCTGAAAATAGAAGTACTGGACAGCTGACAAGCTCGGGAGCATATGGCTTAACACCACCTCACCATAAAAGACTTATACAGGTTCTCAGACTTGCCAGTGGTGGGCTCTTGTGAACATGGTAATGAACCTTCGGGTTCCATAAAAGGCAGGGAATTTCAGAGCAATTATTCACTTCACAAGGAGGATTCTTCACCATGAAGTGACTTTCTTGGAGGAGTGAAGTCCCAGTTGAGAGCTTTCTTTACTATCTTTTCTGCCTAGAACCCCACACTAAAAAGGCCAAGACTAACCTGCATGGAAACATGCTGAACAACACTGTAGGTTCTAGGCAGAAAAGATAGTAAAGAAAGCTCTCAACTGGGACTTCACTCCTCCAAGAAAGTCACTTCATGGTGAAGAATCCTCCTTGTGAAGTGAATAATTGCTCTGAAATTCCCTGCCTTTTATGGAACCCGAAGGTTCATTACCATGTTCACAAGAGNTGACCTTCCTGATTAATAATGATGTGAATATCTATCCTTGTAATACATGGGGTAAACAGAAACTTCATGAGGAATTATAATGGAAATTATTTATGTGAATAGGATTAACCCTTAGCATACAGCATTTGATACTGCCTCTCCTAACTGACGGCTAGGAAGTTCTTAAATTTAAAAGCTCAATTCTGCAACAGGTCATAATATAATTTGTATTTAATACATTTCTTGAGCTATTATCTTCAAACAAGAATGAGACTGTTAATTTCTCCTGTGTTGGCCTGAACTACATGACATTACAACCCAGAAAATCATACCCTTCAAGAATGAATCGCTATAATGACATACAAAATTTCAAAACAACCACCTTTTAGGTTAAGCAGACCGTGAAAAGGAAAGAGTGGAAGACTTTTGAGTGAGCAGTGTTGTATGTTTGGCTTCATATTCTTGTGATGTAGTGGCACAGTTCTTAGATAATATACTAGCAAGCAGAGCTTGCTACCTGCTTCACATTTGTTTCTTGCTTGGCATATTCTTTGACCCTGAAGGTGGAGGTGACAGCATTATATCCCTGAAGATAGGACTCTTCAAGCTGCCAGGTTATTTTAGTCATCAGTATTTGCACATTATTAAATGTTTTGCATAAAGGGGCAACATCCAAGCATTAATATCTCTTTGAAACTCAAGACAGGTGTGAAAACATAAGAAGTGCTAAAATATAATTTGTCAATGAAACTGTGAGTCATTCAAAATCATTTGGAAAGTTGTATTATCTTTAAGGTATCTTTAAGGAGTGTGATGCATGCTAAGTCATCCAGTGATGTAGCACATTGAGGAATCAGTACCACTATATAGTTTGTGGTGTTAGAAGGTTAAAGATTTATGAAATGGCAAAAGTGGCTATCTCCTGTGGCACATGCCCATTGATTGTAAATAATGGCGTGTGATTGTGAAAACGGGGAAAATGTGTTATGCTAGTCAGAACATACTCACCCACTCATTTTGCTCTGTGAGAAAATTCTTGTAGCTTCCCATCTGCCATATTCACCAGATTTGTTGCCAAGTTGCAGAAACATAAAGGAAACGTAAAGACATTGCTGAGAATGCAAGATTTTGTGTAATATGCAAGGTCTGAGTGAGTACCATCCCAAAAGAGAAGTACCAGAGGTATTTCTGCATGTGGAGGTACCTCTCTAAACGATACATACAGTAAGGGGAGACTACCTTGCAGGTAATATATTGGATTGTTCTTACTTTTTAAGTTATATTCTGGCTTATGACACCATGTAGTGTGTTAGGTATTAACATTTCAGAGGAATATACTGCCTCTGTCTTTGTGGCAGAAGTAGAGCTTGCAGATTCTGTGAGATAATGGCAACCACCTACATGACTACATGGTATAAAAACCCAGAACACAAGACTGCTGTGAAAACCTTAAATCTCACCATTTTTGCCTCCCAAAATTCAGTCCTGAAACCTTATGAACCGACCTCATTTCTCTATATCAGTACCAGTCAACAAACCTGCATGGTGTGCAGTAAGAGAACTGCTGTGTTTAGGATAAATTCACATAGTGGAGGGTGGAGTCCAATTGGGTCCACTCAGCACGGCAGCCACTGATTGGCCTGTTGTACCTGCCCCAGGTGATAGTCATGATGGAGAATTTGGTGAAATGAAGATTGACAGGGGAAACGGAAGTACTCGGAGAAAATCCGCCCCAGCGCCACTTTGTCCACCACAAATCCCACTTGACCAGACCCGGGATCGAACCCAGGCTGCCGCAGTGGGAAGTCAGCGACTAACCCTTGAGCTATGGCATGGCCCGCTGTGTTTAGGATGCTCATATCTGACCAAGTTTTGCATTATAATGTCTAATTAAATAACATTGTCACAGGACCAACTTTCCAGTCTTGTATCGCAACTTGTGGTACGCTCTGGAGACTGCAACTGACAAAGCTTTGGATTCATCTGCAGATAAAGGTTCTAAGTTTAAAGTTTGGCACTTAGTGTGCAGTACTATGTCAGTTCTCACAAATGTCATCAGACAGCATGCTCATCGTACAAACTATCAGGCTTACATCAAGGTAAGATATTACCCTTTGATTAATGTTGGGTCTTATCTTCTTACTGTTATAAAATGTGTAACACATATGATGATAATTTTAACCTTTACCAGCCATATGTTGCGTATATTTGCAATACTAATATCATCACCATGAGTCAGAATTCAGCTACCAACCCCTTAGTGTGAAGAGATGTAAATCATCTGTTCGAGTTTTAATTACAGTAAGCTATATTGGTCTGGGTCTTGTACAGTTATGATACAGGTATTCAAAAGTAATCACTGATAGTAAGTGGTGACAGTTACACTTTGGTTGCTAATTAGATTCTTCAGGGACTGTGAGAAAAATCTTAAGAAATTCAAGTTAATATGGAAAAAAACCATGAGTAAAACTGCATTCCCTTGTGAGGTCAGGCATTTTAAAAGTCTCTGTGTTTTGATGTGAATGTACATCCATATGTAGATATGCACTTCCAGCCACATATGAGACTTCTGAGTTACTCTGTATCCAGATTAGATTAGATGTTTGTTATGAATAAGTCTTAATTTGATTTTGTTTTTGCTGTGTCTGAGGAACACTGAGAATTAATTTAAAGGTGTATTCTATGTAAATTTGAATGCTTAACTTCTTTAAATAACAGTAAGTCCTTGCTGTTCACCAGTTACTGACATAATATTGTCACTTGTATGAGTGACTTTCGATCGGGTATTGGATTGGAGATTGATTTATTGCCCACTTATATAGACAACTCGTAACTACCATTAATTATTGCACCATCATTAATATCCACAATTTACAGTTCACTGTTACACACAGACTAGTGTTCTCAGTCTGTTACACTCTCCACTAGTCATTTCCTGGTAACTGGAGATTCTTCAGCTTCGGTGCTCACACCATTGCCAGCTGGCCACCGTCTCACAACTGAATTAAGCTCTGAACTTGTCCCATTGATAACCTCTCAGCACAAACCTCGTAGAAAACACAGCTCTTCTGTTGTTGTAGTTCGACTGTTGCTGTGGCAATGGCTGTGGCCTGGACCATAGAAAATGCCACTTCCAACAGTTCTTCTAATGTTGAAGTTCAGCTGTTGACTGTTAAGAATCTGCTGTCTAGCAATGGCTGTTGTCTTCTTGTTTATTTCACGGTCGTTGCCTAGAAACGTGTCTCTTTGATTTATATCAATAAGTAAAATATATTCTTTGGTTAAAGAAAGACTACAGAAGAGCATAAGGCCACCATCTGTTGATCACAAGATGAAATACCACCCAGGCACTAAACACCTTGGAGATGTCTTGAAGATGTAAAACAACTGTCTGTATCTACCTGCAACTTGCATGTATATTTAAGCATGGCATATTACTCTGCCATTCACAGCACAGTTTTCCACTGTGGACTGAAGTCAGAGATGGAAACTTTTGACAGTTTTTATAACATGTTTCATTATGAAATACAACACCTCTTTTAGCTTTACACTGCACATTTTTAACTAAAAAGCATTATTTCTGGCAGAGATTTATCTTGTTTTGATGACTCTTTGAACTTTCTAAATTGGACGTGGTATATCTCATGAAGTCTGGCAGATCGCTTCCAGCTGATCATGTATAAGGAAAACAGACTTAAAAAGGAATATATATAATATGAACACCATTCAAAACAGGACACACAAGGTGATGAAATGATCATGGCTGCTTTGAGGAGAAAAGAATAACCAATATTATATAAATGACAGGTTGTTATTGTAACGTGATGTTAATTGTAACGTGATTGTAATGAAAGTTTGGCTTTTCTTTTCTACATATTTTTATAGCAATCTCAAGCAATAATAAAATTGTTCCTATCGGATGGAATGCCAGTGTTGGAGGCCCTTCTAAAATCCATGAGTGAAGATGTTATCGGCTTGCTGAAGATACTTCAAGTCACCACACGATACCTTCATACACTTTGTATTAGCACAAAGGTAACTTTTACTGTCAGTTCATTAAATTGAATAATAGTGTTAGTTACTCATGATACATATTATGGTTTTATTTTTATGTGCATATATATCGTCATGTGTATTTTCTGATGTGTTATCATAGATGGGGTTTGGATTGGATTTATTGACCACTTGTACACACCACTCAGAACTCATAACTATAAGTAATTACAGCACTATCACTAATCTCCACACTTTAAAAATCACCACGGCACCCTCTAAGCTTTTTGCAGCCTGCTGTGTCTTCAACAGTCGCTCCCTAGCAATGGCTTCTAACAGTGGAGATTCTTCAGCGTCCTGCGCTCACATCAGTACTCTCCGGCACATATCCCGCAACTGAACTCTTTTTCTTCACAGCAAGACTTTCAGCTCTCAGCTGAAGTGGATTGCCCTTTCTTCTCAGCCTCCCTTGCAAAGCTGAACTCAGTCACCAACCCCCAACTGACTCATTCACTTACAAACCAACTACTTCACATCACTTCACTCATCTGAAGTGCCCTGGCAGCCTGGAGTCCTTGCTGTATATCCTCCGGGCAGACCCAACAGGAAACACTGCCTCCAACAATTGTTGTCATGGGCGGTTGCCTAGTGATATCTGGATATCTTTTCTGTGGGAATGTATTTATTGGGCTGTTACCAAGCAGTGCATGTTCCTTCTTACATTTGTTGCATAGCAGTGGTAGTACATGTTACAATATGAACACTTTATTTTGTATATGGAAACACATCAGGTATGAGGGATATTGGAGGGGTGTAAAAATGGTCAGAGGGCACACTTTTCTAAGGGAAAGAAGGTCAGAGTTACATGATTTATGCATATGCGTGCACAAATAAATAAAAAATATTTAGAAACATATATTTGTGTTTTTGCTCAAATGAAGTAGACACAGATCTATCAATATCAGTTACTGAATTGTCACATTTTAAAAGTTCATTGTTCATATACCCTAATTGAAGATTCTTGTCCCATATCTTCATATTACAGAAATATGTTAAATTCATAGAGACTCAAATCAAAACCTTCAAAAGTTCTGGAAACAACTTGAGACACCTACTTTATAAACTTCCATCCATGTAGAACCAAGAGAGAATTACAAGTTAATAGTTGTGCATTGTAGCAGCCTATTTACGTGCATGATATCCATCAATATAAATCACTGTATTTGAAAGATGTGTGTGTGGCCTAAAAAGTTTGCTTCATCTAAATTTTTGTTAATTTTATAAAAACTGTTATATGCAGAATTTGTACACAAGTGTATAATCAGTCTCCATACCAAATTTCATACACCTTGATGCAAAGATTCATTATTATTAATTGCTAAAGTTTTGGTCTCCCATGCCAACTCTCTTTTCACCAACAGCTCCACATTCATTAATCATCTGACACCATGTAATCTCAGTATTGACAGTATCATTAAATAACTTAAAAAGAACTGAAGTTCCAAGCCACATTTAAGAAATGAGTTTCAGCTTGAAAATTTAGGCATCTGGTCATCTCTAACAAGATTATGTTACAGAAAATGGTAAAGACTTTGATGAATTACACTTTCTGACCTGGAATATTGATTGAGTTTGTCAGCATGGTTTATTTCGTCTTTTCTCAGAGGGAGAAAATGGCAGGACTGACCATTTATGTGCCAATAGTCCGCAAGACTCTGGAGACACTTATCTTTAGAGTAAAGGGTATGTTAGTAGCAAATAACAGCCCTGATGCCTTTTGGATGGGAAACCTCAAGAATAAAACAATCAGAGGGGATGAAATTATGTCACAGGTATGTACAGTATTTTATGCACAATGTCACCCTTCATACATCTTCTGCATTACTGTCATGTGACACCAAGAACATGCAAGATTATGTTCAGGATGAACGAAAAATTCAGAAAATCTTAGATCGAGAAAATATGAATCAGAATTCGACAGTTTAAGGGATTAAAACAGAAATCAATTGGAAGATGAAATAAGTGCAGAAAAGCATCTTTGTGAACTGAGACCAGTGAAGTGATTGGCTGTAGGCAAGATGGCCAGGTCCATTACTCAGTCTTTGGAATTTTTACTTTTACAACACTGGGAAGGAAGGAAAAGCAAAATTAGACACCATTTTCTGTTGCCCACAGACTCCCCTACTCTGCTGCTAGGTGCACTGCAGTTACATGACTGCAGAGTACACTGGCAGACAAGGGTGCGAACAACTTAAAATCACCTAACCCAACTGAAGGACAATTGGATAACGGAACTTGCCCTAGTGATGTCCAAATAGCAAATGAGTTACAAATATGCCAGCCAGTTGAGGTTAAAAGCACAAATGGCGTAATTGTCAAAGTGCAGCATTAGAAACCAACCAGCCACCAACAGTTTCAAAGTGGCTGCATCATCATCTCATGTACCATCATATGCCATGTGCAAAGATGTGAGGATGTATGGAACCATGGTAGCTTGATTAAGCTGTTTCTTCTTTGATATTTCTCTATCAGATATTTTATTTTGAGTCTTGTTTCTCATGTATACATTCCATAACTATAATCATATAATGCTTCAAACAATCACATACTCTTATTAATTTTGTAGAGAAGTTATGTTCTTCGTTGTGGTACCTTTGCAGGATTCTGCAGCAGATGAACAAAATAGTGATGATGGTGATGAAGAAGACCTTCCACAAGATGAAAATTCAGATATTGATTTGGATAGCCATGAGGACAAACATAGTGGTGAACATGACGGCTCTATAAGTGATGTGTTCTAAACATATAATCACAAAAGACTTAAGGTATGCTGGGTTTGCCCATATCTCTCTCTTATTAGCACACTTACATTTGAGCAAGCATTTCAACATGGAACATGTCTATTTAACCCTTTAACTGCTACATGTTTTATGTACTGTGGCAGAATTGTAGGATTCTGTAACATAATGTATTATCGAACATTAAGGCTTACACATTTTCATTAAAGTTCATCATAATTGACTCTTACTGGTTTGTGATGTTTGTATTTGTGTTAGAGATCCTTTAGGCCAACTTCATGGAGCTGTTCCTTTTAATTAGTACAACTGCATTAACAGTTCTCCATTTGGCAGGTATGTTTGACAGATAACCATGTTGGATTTAGTGGATCAATAGGCTCTTTCATGGTCCATTCTGTAAAATCTACTTGTCCTTTTTCATCAATCAGTATAATACTGTGGGTCCTGAAACAGGGCAGATATAGAGTGGAACAAAGTAAAGTAAAAGTTTATTGAGTCGTGTTTCATTACAGCACATAAATCTGTGTCCATGTAACACCAAATTTTTGTGGTACACAGATCCTTAGTCTACGTAACTACTTTCATTAATTCCAATCAATTTAACTACAGTTGCTGCTGCTACTAATACCATTCATACTGCACCAGTTCTATTTGTGATACATTTTCCTTTCTCTCAATCCATTTTCTACTTTATGTTTTTGTTCCTCGAAATTTCAAGTGAGATTTATACCCCTCTAACTTTGTTCTCCCATTTGCATATAGTTTCAAATAAAGACTTTCCATTATTTTTTTAACTTAATTACATTTGTACAGTTTGCATTTTCCTATATGCTATGTCCTCATTTATGTTTAACCATTTACTGCATACAAATTTTATCCTGACTTTTTCATTGCAGAACTATCCTTACTTCAGATTCGTCTGAATTAAGTTACTGTGCACATCTAAACCACCCGCACACATATGCACATGTATATTTATTGCAAACACAACATGACACACAAGTACAGGGTGGGGCGCAGAAACTTCCTTTTTGTGAAGACGCATTGTGAAGGGAGGGGAGGTCACAGAAAAGTGGGGATAGAAGACTGCTTTTTTCATAGTCACCGCCGTGAAAGCCTCAAATCTTACAAGTGGGGATAGGCTTGGCGAACGCAGCAGTCGCGGAAATTTCTGTCTGATACCCCTCAGTAGGAAACATGAGGTGGATGAGTGAGCAGCGTGCATTTGCTGTCGAAGCCTATTTTTCAAACAACCATTCCTACATGGCAGTGCAGCATGCGTTCCGTACTCACTTCGGAATTAAGCCAAGAGGTCTGGTTCCCGATCGGAAATTGATTGTTTTGTGGGTAGAGAACTTTAGGACAACCAGGAGTGTGGTGAAAAAATCATCAGGATGACAACGGACCGTTACGATGCCAGAAAATGTGGAGGCAGTTCGACAGTCGATTTTGAGATCTCCAAGACGCTCCGCTCACAAACATGCAGTTGCCTTAGACATATCCAATCGTTCAATGCTTCAATGCGCCGAATTCTTCACGAACATCTTCATTTCCATCCCTATACGATGGTTGTTGTGCAAAAATTGTCACCATGTGATTTCCAGAACCACATAACGGCGTGCGAAACATTATTGGAAACTTTATTCCCTGATGCACTTGTTTTCTTTAGTGATGAGGCACATTTTCACCTATCTGGATATGTCAGCAAGCAGAATATGCGCTATTGGAGTGGTAACAATCCCAGAGAGCTCCATGAGAGGCCACTTCACAGTGATACGGTGACTGTGTGGTGTTCGTTGTTGAGAGTTGGAGTTATTGGCCCCTATTTTTTTGAGGAAGACAGTCATGCAGTTACTGTCAAATCACAGCAATATGTGGACATGATTAAAAACTTTTTCGAACCAGCTCTTGAAGAAATGCATCTAGGAAATGTCTGGTTCCAACAGGATGGTGCCACGGCCCACACAGCCCGAGCTTTGATGACGCTTCGAGGTGACATCCCGTGGGCAGTGCACTCACCTGATCTAACGCCCTGTGATTTTTTT